TATGTTGACAGGAATCTGACAGGTAGGGAGCAAGGACAGAGAATGGCCAGAAGTGGCTCCAGCCTAAGGCATGGAATGGGGCCCCTGGAAGACCTGAGCAAGACACAGAAGGTCAAGTGGATGAATCTGTGGATCAGTGGACTGGATGTGAGACGAAGCAAGGGTACAGCAACCGAGTGAGATGACAGAATTATAAAGCCCTTCCTGTGTTTGTGTGATTGTCTTGGCGCACCTGACTGAGAAGTAAAATAGAACCAGAAAGGGGATGGAAGGGCAGGAAGAGATTGCTTCAGCCCAGTGGGCTTCAAGACTGAGTGGAGGGACCAAGGCTCACAGGCTCTCATTCTGCAAAGCTGGGGGGCGGGAGCTCTTCTCAGTGACTCCATAAAAGGAAGAAGAGCTGAGGGCATCATGGGCGTGTTCAGTCTTGTGTTCTGCAGAAGGTGCCAGGCTGGGCAGTGGGGAACTGGGTCTGTACCTGGAGGGCTTTTTGAGGAGGCTATATATAAATATCCAAATAAAGAAAGTGCAGGAACTTGTTAGTGGTAGTGGGAGGCAGCATGATAGTTGAGCAGAAGTTGCATAGTGCTAACCAGTTCTGGGCAGTGTGTCCCCCCAGCGTGGTCCTCCCACCCAGCACCACCCCAAGTATGACTTCTCAGGTTGGAAGGATTGGGCTAATATCACATTATGACTTCTAGAACAGAAGGGAGGAAGGGGATAACTAGCCTAAGATCAGGCCTGGCCAGTGTGCCTCCCAAGAGGCAGCGTGGCTAGTGCAGAGTTGGTCAAAGAATGGCGAAGTGGGTTCTGTGGCTCGCCCACCTCCCTGCTCTCTGCATCTTTCCCTGATGCAATCTCCAGCTAGACTTTCAAAATGGGTGATTTTTTTTCCTCATTGGCCACAGCCCCAGACTATCACATTCTGGAATTTACAAGTCATTGACAGATGCTGCAAGTATTAAATGTTGTTCAGGCAGAAGCCTGGGAGTCCCAACCCAGTGCTCTGTCCCTTGGCAAACTGTGGACTAAAGTGGGCAAGTCCTTGCCTGGTTGGGCCTTTGTTTTCCCTTCCAGAAGCGGGTGGCCACGACTTCCAGCACCTGAGGCCCTCCTGAGGGTGTGATAAGTTCTGACAGGACCACATGTCTAGGAGTTGCTGTGACTCCCCTGGAGGAAAGCCCTTCGAAGGCCTGGGGGCACTGTTGTCTCTGGTGAGAGACAGTGTTCAGTTTGAGTTTGAATTTTAAAATGTGCAAGATGCTTGACGAGCTTCTGAGGTATTGGGCTTCCTCTTAAATAGGCAAGCCCAGGGAGCCCTTGGTTTAAAAAAAAAATGTGTATATATTTTACTGTTTCAAACCTTCTCTTCTATTTTGGGACTTAACTTCTGGGGAAAAAAACTTCTAACCCTGGTGGTTTGGGAAGAGATTCCACAGCAATGAGGTAAGGAGGGAGGCTAGGCCACATGTGTGTGTTTTCGGAGAGGCTTCTGAGCAGCCTCTGTGAGCGTGGCGATGTGTGCCGTGCAAGGTCCCCAGCCTCCTCCAGCTGGCCTGAGGACAGGGTGCTGGGAACTCCGCTCTCTCTCACGTACACACCCCATCTGACTGGGCTCCATGGGGTAGGGTGCTGGACATCCAGTGTGCACAGCACCAGACAGTCCCTGCAAGTACCACCCAAGTCTGAGCCTAAGGTCCTGCCCATGTGGATCACCTCAGTACCAGGCAATGTACAGGACACGATGTGAGGGTGGACAGTGGCCACTATGAGCCTGGAGCCCAGGCCAGAAGTCAGAACCCCATCCTTCTTCACCTACTGATTGGTTGTGTAGGTGAAGAGAATTTGAAAAAGCTCATGGACTTTCTCATGTTTTCGCCTTTGAAAGGGGGTGCCATTTGCTATCTTGAAGGTGGTCAGGGGATCGAGTGAAGGAATGTGTGTGAAGTTCTGTGTGTGGAAGCTGGGGTGCGGCAAATTAGTAAGTGGTAAGTGATAGCCATCAGAGTTGTCATTCAGAGGAGACTGGCACTGCGGTCCGGTGGTGGGGAGGCAGCCAGCAGGGGCCATGGAGCATAGAGGCTGTATTCTGTGGAATGAATGAATGAATGAGGTGGATTCCAGCCTCCTTACAGACTAGGAAGGATTTGGTTCCTTGGAGGGAGAAGAGGACACTTCCAGTTTCAAAGCCTGTCCTGATGGCTTTCTTAAGGTGTTGGAGGAAACAAGATCTTTCTGAAGTTTCCTCCACCACACAGGCACACACACACATACTCCCATGGACACACAGACACCCTCCCATGAACACACACTGTCACACACTTCCACAGACACACACTCCTACAGCCAAACATAGACACAGACACACTCCCACAGACATATGCTGACACACATTCCCACAGACTCACACTCACACATAACTCCTGTAGACACACATTCACACACACACAATACACACTAACACAGACACACTCACATAAACACTCCACTTTTACAGCGACCCACAGGATGTGCACACATATACACAGACATGCAATCCCAGAGACCCACATACAGATACAGGCACACACAGAGACTCATCTGACATGTGGACACACACGTGCACATATACAGAGACAGAGACGGACATACACACCATCATATACACACACAGTGAATTGGTGGAGGAATGTGGACAGTGACACCTGGTTCTAGCTCTTTCTCTTCACCAGGCTGCATTGCCTCTACCCACCCCACCCCCCGGAGTCCATCTGGTTATTCCTTCATTTCTGCTGAGGGCCTGGCCCTTTGGCTCTCAGGGTGGCACGCACTGGCCCCAGGCCCCATGGCCATTGTGACCCTTCTCTGTGGGGTCTGCTGAGCCCCCCATCTAGGTCTTCCTCACCTCTCCCCCTCTCTGAGCAGGGGAGGGGTCTATGCATGAGGAAAGTCAGCTGAACCTGCCTGCTGGTGAAGCCACGTGGCTGGCACTGCGCTGGTGACTTTCCTCTGGCATTACAGTTGCACTCTGGAACCCAGCCCGGCTCCCGAGGTGGAGGGGGCAGAAGGAGGCTGGCCGAGGGCAGGGTTGAGACCTCAGGGCCCTTCTTGGCTCATCCCTGTCCACGCATCTTGGTGGCCCAGGTCCTGCGGACTGAATGAGGGCTGTAAAGGATCCAGGATCCAGACTGGAAAACATAATCCTGCCATTGGCAGCTTTCCCTCCACCCCATGTGGAAAGGAGGCAGAGCCAGATGCCAGGCCACATACTTTCCACTGCCTGGCAGGCCTTGGGAGGTGATACCTGGCTTGGGACCCTGCAGCTGGTGGCAAGAAGGCATGAATCCCTGGGCACTCAAAGAATGGCTCTGTTCAACCTGGTGGTTCATTTGCATCCTGGCTGGACAAGGACAGGACACTCAGGTCACTGGGCATCTTGCTCCAGCCATGCTGGGACCGCTCCCACCCATCCCTGGCCTAGCTCAGAGTATATGTGTCCCACTGCACAGCATGGGGGTACCAGGGAGGAAATTGGAGTCCACTGGTTTTCTCATGTATAAAATGGGGGTGACAGTGGCTATAAACCATCTCATTAGAGTGTTTGAGGATTAAGTAAGAGAACACACAGAAAGTGCCTTGTACAGGTCCGGCACCTGGCAAGCTCCCAGGGAAGCTGTCACTGTCATATGCTGCAGTCCATGGTTTCTGTGGGTCCTCTTGAAGCTGGGACCATGAGGGAAGCAGGGGCACAGAGCAGAGGTCCTGCAGAGCCAGAGCATCTCGCTTAGTTGGCCATTAGACAGTGAGGAAGCCGTCAGGGGACAAGTTAGGTGTGAGTTGCAGACAGAGCTCTCGGGAGGCTAGCTGAGCCGGCAATGGCAGGGAGTCAATCTGAGATAGTTACAAGAGCTGGTAATGGCCCCATTCAGGCAGGGATTGGGGGCAGAAAGGGGAAGGGCTGGTGTAGAGGTTACAGAGGGAGCAAGCAGAGTATTTGGAGACTACTGTGGCATATCTTGGGAGAGCATGGGAAGTGTGACTGTAACTCTGGGGAACCCTTCTGTTCCTCTTATCTAGTTTGGCCTCACCAAGCCCCCTCTCCTGCATAACCCCTGGGACTCAGGTGTGAGTATGGTGCAGAGACATTCCAGCCCCCTGTGGAGGGAAGAAGGGAGCCCATGTAGCAGGGGGACAGGTGCCTTCTTCCCTTCCACCAATCCCCCCAAGCTTCCTGCTCTTCCTCCCAGGAATCCTTCCAAAGAGGCCTCCCAACTGACTATGGCCTCCTTTCCTCACTGCCACAGAAGAAGGGGTGGGTGTGAGAAAGGGGCTTTCCAAGGGACCCAGGTGTTTGGAAACTTTTCTTTCTTTGCTACAGCAAATACCTTTCCCCCACCCTCTGTCCCTGGTCCCCAGGCCCCTGTCAGGGGCAGGCAGGCGTGTGTCCCTGCACCTATGTGGTCAACACTGGGGAGCCTCTGCGTCCTTTCTCTCCAAGCCTTGCCCTTCTCTGAGCCCCTCTGGGGATTTTTGAGTGAAGTAGACCTGCCCCCGGGGTAGGAGCTCCTAAGCAAGGTAGCCCCCACCACCAGCTTCAGGATATCTAAGGCTCCTCTGCCTGAATCTGCAGTTTGGGGAATGGTTGGTGGAGGAGACACACGGACCCACAGGTGCACACACTCATGCTTGGAAGTAAGAAGCAAACTCCAAATTGAAAGAACACTTTTCTCTTGCCCTTCTTTTGAGGCCACGTGGGAGGGGCTGTTCTCTAGGTTCTTCGAGGTGGTGGGAGGGGTTCCCCGAGTCTGCCGAGTCTTCTCTCTCACAGGTCACCCCACTCCCCGAAAGTGGGCCCCTGGGGCCTCACTTGGTCCCACACACAGCGCTTCGTATGGAGCATGCCCTTAGCCTGAGGCAGGATAGCAGGGGGCCTGGCCTGCAGTCACCCAAGACTGGTTGCCTGGTGCCTCTCCAAGGCCAGCGCAGGAAGGTAACCCTCTCCTTCCCTGCCTCCTTCCCAGAACCTGAACATCCAGGTGGAGGACATCCGCATCCGGGCCATCCTCTCCACCTTTCGCAAGCGCACGCCAGTGACGGAGGGCTACGTGGAAGTGAAGGATGGCAAGCACTGGAAACAGATCTGCGACAAGCACTGGACGGCCAAGAACTCTCGCGTGGTCTGCGGCATGTTCGGCTTCCCGGGAGAGAAGGCGTACAACACCAAAGTGTATAAGTAAGGGGACCTGGCAAGCGGGTGGCTTCCTGGGCACCTGGCCTCGCTGCCTTGTCAAAGGCATCAGCCCTGGGATGCCCTTCCTGCAGCTGGTCAGCAGGCCCACACCGACCCCCGTGCTGGGCCAGGCCTGAGTTCACGGGCACCGCGTACCGTCCTTACCTTAGCGGACCCTAAACCCTGGAGCACTCTGTGGTTTAGAAACAAGGCTCAGAAACCCCACCTTAGGTGTGATACCAGCTCGGGACCGTGTGGGCTTAACCAGTACCACAGTACCCAAGCCGGGCAGGGGAAAGAGCACTGGCCCAAGAAGTGGTTACTTGCCCTTAGCACCAATTATTCTGAGAAATCTGGAAGTTGCAACAGGTGGTAGGTAATTGAGAAACCAGTTAATTCAGTTCACGCCATCCAATTCCAATTAAATCTCACGATGCTCTTTTGGTCTCTTAAGGTTAATGTCTCCCAGGGAAAAGAAGTAGATTCAAGGGATATGACCTGAGGGCTGTCCAGTAAAAGGATTCTAGTACCCCAACAGCCGGCAGCTGGGATATGCTTGGCTGGTAGTGGGGTCTTCCTGTCTCCCCTTAATAGTGATGGGAATACCAGCATCTGCTTGCTGTGTGCTTACTATCTGCAGGGCACTGCTCTTGGTCACTTAATCCTCACACCACCAAGTAATTGAGGTGGCTTCTGAGTCAGCAGGCTGGCTGCAAGACCCAGTGCTGCCTCCAGTTCCCCAGGTACAGGGGAGGCTGCACCCTTCCCTGGGCCTGGCCGGGCCCTGCATGGCCAAGGTGAACCATGGATTGATCTAAGACAGCCCTCCCCAGGGGTGAGTGAATGTGGCCACAGAGCTGTCCACCTGGTGGGCTTCAGTGCTGATTCTTTCTCTTTTTTGGAGACAGAGTCTCACTTTGTCATCCTTGGTAGAGTGCTGGGGTGTCATAGCTCACAGCAACCTCAAACGCTTGGGCTCAAGCAATTCTATTGCCTCTGCCTACCTAGGTGGGACTACAGGTGCCCACCACAACGCCCAGCTATTTTTAGAGACAGGGCCATTGTCCTCTGGCTCAGGCAGGTCTCAAACCTGCTCCTGCTGACAGCACACCCTGAGGCCCAAGAAGTGACCTCCCAGGCAGCATTGTCCACTCCACAAAGAAGATTGTTTCCAAAGTCCTTCTCAGTTGGTGATGGAGCAAGTTATCTCCACGTATCCACTAAGGCCCCTAATGGGCTTCATAGCCTCAACATTCCCTGGTTACCTTCCACGGCCTCTCCACCTTGAGCCGCCACTGCCCTCCTGGGGCTAGGTCCCTCTGTGCACCTGTGGGCTGGTGGCCTCACGGAGTTACCCCACAGCTGGTACAGCCCTTGCTCCCCTGGTTAGCTTCAGGCACCCCACAGATATCCTCAGGTTCCTGAAAGCAAGGGCGGGGGCTCCTCACACCCGTTGCTCCTTGCTCTGCCCTGGCTGTGCCATTGAGCCAACTTCTGCAGGGCCAGGGTGCTGTGTGTGCACCTTGATATTAACGAAGCTTAAGCTGCAGGTCCCTGTCCCTAGGACCGGGAGCATTGTTGTTTGTTTTGTTTTTCCTGTGGTCTTTTTTTTCCCTCAAAGCAGGATCTTAATGTTGACATTGATTTATTGACATGAGCTCACTAAGTAGAGGTTTTGCATTTAATGTTACAGCTCAGGATGTTAGAAAATACTCCCAGCAGTTTGCTTGACTGCTTGGTAGAAACATGGGCCAAAATGTGGCCCACAGGGAGGGAACCAGAGATGCAGCATTCAAAGCATTAGGGACACCAAAATGTTAGAATAGGTTTGTGAGTAAGATCTCTGGCAGGAGATTGCTTGCTGGCTCCAGGACGGATGCACTGAAGCCCTGACTTCACCACAATGCAGTATAATAGTGTGCTTGTACCTCATGAATATATACAGAAATGGGGGAAAAAACCCAAAATACTAAAAAAAAATAGTATTTATTATTATTAATATTAATTAATATTTTTGAAATAGCAGAAGATACATGGATAGATAAGAAGTTAAGACAGAACAGTTTCTTTGTGAAGGATAACAGAAAAAAACATTCATTTATGTAAAAATTAATATACTTATTACAAAATAGAAAAAGAGAAAAGATGAAATTAAGGCTGTTTAAGAGGAAATGTGAAACAGTATCTAAAAATTGAGAAACTATTGAATTAAAAACACTAAAATATGAATATTTAGTAAAGATTATAAAGGAAAATATAGAGATCCAAAGACCTCCTCGTCTACCCCAAAAGAGTCTAGAAAACACACCTGTCACCGAGACTCTAAGGAACAAGTTTGTGAGGGGAGCCCTGGCATCCTTCAAGAGTTCTGGAAGTCCACTCTTCTCTGGAGGTCACGCCTCCCTATGGGCACTGCAGCCACTGAACTGGGAAACCTAACTGGGAGAAAGAGGGTCCTGGGCTGGCAGGAGCTGAAGGCACAGTGTGGTGTGGTTGTCCTATTGGACAGCAATCAAAGCAGTGATGAGGACAGTCAGATCCATGTAGACCCCTGCTGTTGGCCAGTTGATCATGGTGTCAGCTGAGGGAAATAGATAGGAAGACTACTGAATTCTTATCTGATCTGTGTAAGGGAACAAAGGTCCATCCTGAATCATAAAATCAATCATGGCCCTAAAATCGATTCCTAGACTTGGGCCAGCTTACAGACCCAGAAACTTTTGAACAGAGGGGACACCAGGTCCCTGTGAGGAAGAACCTCAGTGCACTGCCACAGCATGATCCTGACCTTCTCCAAAGGGACTTTGTACCAAGATGACCGTGCACTTGGGAGAAGAAAATGATCAGACCTTCAGGGACACTGGACACTGGCTCTGAGCTGACTCTAACTTCAGGAGACCCACAGCAACCCTGTAGCCCACCATTAGGGCAGGGCTTTGTGGAGTGTACCTCCCGTCCATGTCACAGTGGGCCCCCAAACCCATCCTGTGATTTCCCCAGTTCTGGAAAGCATGGTTGGAATAGACACACTTAGCAATTGGCAGTAGCCCATGAAGTCTGGCCTCCCCCCTCGGCTGGAGGAGAGCCCACAGGACTTGTCGTGTGTAGCCGAAGCAGTCCAGCTCAGTGTTCTTCCTACTGCCCAGCCACAGGACATCACACTTGGCCCTAACTTGGGTCACCCCTGCAATCTCCGGGCCTGGTCTGGGCTGTGTACCACCCTCCGAGGGCCTCCGTCTGGATCGCACTGGGATGGGGAGGCACAGCACATTCCTGGGGGCTGAAGTAAGAGGGATCCCGGCTGCCTGGGGATCCCGGCTGCCTGCACACAGTTGGGCCAGCTCTGTGTTTGCTGTGGCCACTAGGCTTTCTATTCAGGGCACAAGACATCTGTTTCTGGAGAGGGTGGCATTCACTGACAGCTGGAAGCAGGACTGTCCGGAGCCAAGGCAGGCAGGGAAGTCTGACTGGTCCTTGTGGAGCCACATTGCCTCCAGTGCATTTTCCTGCTCGATGTGGGGGCACTGTGGGGGGCAAGCTGGAGGCTGCCAAGTGCAAAAAGGAGGGCAGGCTGGGCACCGGTTCTGAAATTATTAACACCCCCTTCCATGTAGTTCCCTGCTCCAGGCTGCTGTGTAGTCAGCAAGTGCCTGCTGCACTCACAGGTATGCAGAATCGTTAAAGTCTCAAATTTTGCCTAAGGAAAGATAAGGATGGCATCTTTAGGATCAATCTCTTCTCTATGTTCATGTCCGATTGTTTCCAGGGCTGCCAGACTAGCAGGGATGGAGCCCTGGGTCAGACCTAGTCTTATGAAGTACACGCTGTTACTGTCTCTGATTTGGACACAAGGAAACTGAGACACAGTAACCTTTCTATTAACCAGCGTATTACATATTGGCTGGTTATTATTTTAGAAAAGAAAAAAAATGGCTTGGTACCTGTGGCTCAAGCAGCTAAAGCGCCAGCCCACATACACCTGAGCTGGCTGGTTCGAATCCATCCCTAGCCCGCCAAACAACAGTGATGGCTGTAACCAAAAAATAGCCGGGCGTTATGGGTGGGCACCTGTAGTCCCAGCTACTTGGGAGGTAGAGGCAGGAGAATTGCTTGAGCCCAGGCCTATGAGCTGTGATGCCATATCACTCTACCCAGGGTGACATCTTGAGGCTCTGTATCAAAAAAAGAAAAAAAACTAAAAAACTTTTGAATTATCTTGAGCTCTATTCTGCCTTGAAAAAAAAACCCATAAAAAGGAATGCTTCGCCTATGTAAGAGATACGGGCTGTGTCCGACAGCCCTAGTTGCATTGGTTTTCCTGGGTGCCAAGTTCTATAGCACAGTTTCATCACTGCTATAATTTCTATTACTAAGAAAATTATACTTTGATTCAGCAGATGGAGTAATTTAAGACCATTTTCATAGCTTCTTATTAGATTTGCATGTTTAATCTTGTATGTGTATCATTGGGAAGGATTAGCAATCACCCATCCTGCTCATTGACACAGGAAAATAAAGCTAAGGAGTGAGAGCAGATTGTGTTGAAGTTATTTGAAGAGTTAGGCTGACCAGCCACTTTGGTTTGCCTGGGACTGATGGGTTCTCTGGGACCTAGGATCTCACCTTGTTTGCAGTTTGTATTTAGGGTCTTCATTGTGGTCATCATTATTATTTCACTGCTCCGAGCTCATCTTTTCTCTCCTAGAATGGAGGATGGTAGAGGCAGGAGGCTGGGTCTGCCTTCGGGGTCTTTCCCAGTGCCCAGCAGTGCTGGCAGCATGGCCTGAGCAGGGACATGGTCTATGGGGTTGGCTGAGTTCTAGGAGCAGGGATGGTCTGTCCTGCTCTCCTAGGACACGGTGGTCACCTGTACCCTCCTGCCCTCTGCAGGATCTTTGCCTCTCGGAAGAAGCAACGCTACTGGCCCTACTCCATGGACTGCATGGGCACGGAGGCCCACATCTCGAGCTGCAAGCTGGGCCCTCCAGTGTCACTGGACCCCATGAAGAATGTCACCTGTGAGAATGGGCTGCCAGCCGTGGTGAGTTGTATGCCTGGCCAGGTCTTCAGCCCAGATGGACCATCACGTTTCCGGAAAGCCTACAAGCCAGAGGTGAGGACAGGGCAGAAGGTGTGGCCACTAGGCACCTGGTGGGGGTGACAGAAATGAAGTGAGCAGGCAAGGACCCTCAGGAGAGAGTGAAGAATGCTGGCCCCAGCTGAGGCCACTGTTACTGCTGCTTCACTCTGGCACCAGAGCCCCCTCCATGAAGGAAGGACACTGGACGTGGGGGGAGCACCCCATTATCGGTCATCACAGCTCTTTGTGCACTGTCTGCTGACCCTGCATAGGTAGACCGGGTGGTAGGACAGGGCCCTTGTGCTCCTGCACAGTTCCCAGAGGGCACGTGGAAATGTACTGCACCTCTCAAAAGCACCAGACATTAATTGTAAGTTTTCAAACACGTTTGGGTTTATTTTGCAACAGAAAGGACAACAATTTTTTAAAACTTTCACCAATGTAGAAAACTTGCCACTATCATGTGTAAGTTGGTACATTAGTTATGTAATACCCTGTCAGAGAGCATGTGTGGTGTCTGAGAGTGTGTATGTGCAAGCGTATTAGAGACACATAAACGTATGTTTCAACTGACTGATCTCTTAGGACAAGTGAATGACCCCAGCCGTGTCAGGCTTGGCCCATCTGAAAAAGAGGAAGCGCTCTCCTCTGCCTCCCTTGATCGGCTTTTCCTTTCCCTGCTCCTCTTTTTTCATATATCCACCAAAGGGTCTCTGTGATTCATAGGTTCTGGAAACTGCTGATATCCAGCCCGTGGGTGGGACTAGCACCTGGGCAGAGGAGGGAGGGGTAGCACAAGCAACTGGCTGTTATTGAGGGGCTTGTGCCCAGTGCCAGATAAAACCTCAGTACTTTGTAACTGTCACCTTAGCAGGGTGTGTTCTAAGTGGGCTCTGACCAAGTCAGGGATGAGAGGGAGCAGAGGAGAGAGAATAGCCCTGGGAGGGCAGGTGGTATGCCAGCCCGGTGTGCCAGCCAGGTCCAGGCGGTGGGGTAGAAGTAACAAAGGCTGAGCTGACTGTCCCCCATTTCCTGTGTCCCCTTCCCTCCCTCTCTCCCACTTTAACCCCCTGCCCTCCCCAATGTCCCTCCCTGTCAATCTGCAGACTTGTTCTTAGACCGGTCGTGGTCACACTTCCTCCAACGTGAAGATGGGATTAGTAAGCCACACTGGGTTCCCCTCCCAGGCTATGGGGTGCATTTGGACAAAAGTCTGAGCCTTAAGTCAAAGGAGGGAAATGGACACCTTGGGCCCAGCCTCCTCAACAGGAGGGAATGAGAACTATGTGGAGTACTTCCTGGCAAGGCTGACCCCTCCTCAGTCCCCTCAGGGGCCTCCCACATGCATGGATGTGACCACGATACACCATCATACACGTTCACACAGCCCGCCCTGGACAACACCACTTCCCAGCCTCTATTAACCAGCTCCCTCCCCACCAGCACACCCTCACTTGCCCCCTGCCACGTGATTGAAGGGCCACATCCTCTCTACAGCCTCAGCCTCAGCCTTTGAGCTTCCCTTGTGTGTCATCCAGAATACCAGACCCTACTGTTTTGGAATTCCTCTACTATGCGGTTTAAAGCAAAGGAATCAAGTTCATACCAAGCCAGTTAGAAAAGAGCAAGCGTGCCTTACATCACATTTTCCCTTGGTTTCTGTCTTCCCTCTGGGGCCAGCTGACTCTGTCTGGCCACTGCTGAGTTGGGGCAGGGTTATTTGACACTCTGCCTAGATTAAACTTGGGTCAGGGATGGTCAGCTCCATGGGAAGGGGCCCCTGGCATCAGCTAGGCAACTGGGGAGGGAGGTCACAGTTCTACAAAAACAGAGGCTGGAGCCAGCAGTTTCACTCATTTTTTTTTTTTTTAAGCCAGAATAAAGTTCCTGCAGTCACTGAGTGTTTTGCACCCATCGTTCTTCCTAGTGCCAGAGTCAGAGCAGTCCCTGGGATCTGCAGATCTGGGGTGGGGGGGGTACTGTCCCAGCACCTTGCCCTGCTGTATACTCCCCCAAATGCAATTAGAAGGTAGAGTTAAATGGGGTAGAGGTGTGGCTGGATGGTGGAGAGGCAGGCTCTCATTTGATGCCTTGGCTCTCAAGGTGGCCAGTGGATGTTAGTGCTTGAAAACACCACCTCACCCTAACCATCAGGAGGACAGCATAGGCCAGTGTAGGCAGTGACTCTGACACACATAGGATGGCTGCACAGCCACCCTCACTCCCTCCACGTGGCATTGAATGAGAGTCAGCAACAAGTCAGAGCTTCCGCCAACACACACACGTGCAGCGTGGATGCAAGCAAACATGCACACACATGAACACATGCATGTGTGTGTGTGTAGACATGCAAGACACTGCAGCAAACCTGGGTGTGTAGACAGGTGGAGTCCCATCTAGGAAGACATGATCCACTGGGGTCTTACCCCTGTGTAATTCAGTATACCCCACCAGGACCTTAAGGCTTCCTGCTGTCAGCGGGCAGTGGGGGTACCAAAACTGGTAATCCTCAGCCCTCTCTGTGTATCTGGTGGGGCTGCATCTTCTGAGGAGTCTCCTGATTTGGACTTGGAGAAGGATCGGGGTGGCTGGGCATGCACCCAGCTCTGGCACAAATCCGAGTGAGACTTCTCTCCCTTACGGCAGGGAGGAAGGGAGTTGTTGACGTGTTGTCTGAATCACGGCTGTGTTAGGGCTGGCCCTCTAGCTCCCTGTTTCCCATTCTCTTGTCTGCTCCCCACTGCCCCTCTTTGGTGCACCCGGCAGAGCCCCTGCAGTGGAGTCTGTTTAGTGCAATGCAGCCTCCCCATGGCACAAGGCTGCAGCACCCTGTAGGCAGAATTATGAGCCATTTGGAATCTACAGCCTTTGGGGGAGGAGCTTCCTTCTGCAGCTCTGAAGCTGGAAGCTCTGGAGTGTGGGATCCCACAGGCAGGATCCTCAAGCCAAGCCATGGCTTGGGGTGATGAGTGATCAGGGTCCCTGGTGGGCTCCACAGTGGTCCAGGACAAAATCTCCATGTGAGGGCTGCAAGGGAGCTTGCACCAGAGCCCACTTGGTAGATGCCCCCCATCTCTCACCCCCACCATAGACACACACCAGTGGAGTCGAGCACAGCTTGCCTCCCAGACTGGGTGCCTGGCTGGGGTGGGGCGGTGGCACAGTGACAATGCCAGCTGAATGTGCATCAGCTTCTGCACTCAGCAGGACCATGTGTCTCTTCAGCAACCCCTGGTGCGATTGAGAGGCGGTGCCAACATCGGGGAGGGCCGCGTGGAGGTGCTCAAGAACGGAGAATGGGGGACCGTCTGCGATGACAAGTGGGACCTGCTGTCAGCCAGTGTGGTCTGCAGAGAATTGGGCTTTGGCAGTGCCAAAGAAGCGGTCACTGGCTCCCGGCTGGGGCAAGGTAAGGAATGGGAGGCTGTTGAGGGGCCTCTCTTCACAGGGAGCTCAGAATCGTCAGCCCTGGCCCTTCCTGCCTTCCCAACTCCCTTCAGCAGCTGCTGCCTGGGCAAGAGTCCCAGGCCTGTCCCCTGATAGTCAGAGCTGGAAGGGGCTTGGAGAACACTGAATCTTCATTTTATGGATTTGAAAGCTGAGGCACAGAGAAGGGATAAAATGGATGAGATGACATACTAGTGGCCCATGAATACCCCAACTTAGGTCTCTTAACTCCTAACTCGTGCTCTCTGCTGCCCCCCCTGGGAAAGCCAGAATTCATGGGCCCTTTCTCCATGAGAAGACCTCAGCATTCATGAGACTGAACTGTTCAAGAGAAGCAGAACCAAATGTCATCTTTTCCGTCTTGGTGCAACCCCGCAAACATCCTCTCCCTAACAGCAGAGAGAGGGAACGGGATGTCATCAGACACTAATTGAGAAAGGGCCTGGTTTTCATTAAGTGTCCTGAACAAAGCTATCATGTGAGCAAAGAACAGAAGTATAGGAGGCCTTAAGTTGGCTGTGTTGTTGAAAGCAATGTTGTACCCACGAGAGGACACAGGACAAATCTCTCCTCTTTCCCAAGAAGCCCCACGATGGCCACTCACCCTTGCAGGCCCTGTAGAAGGAGGAGTCTTCACCCCAAACAGACTCTGTAGGCCAATGAGAGCCCAGCCCTACCTCCCCTGGAGAACTATGGTTTGAGCAAGAGAGGCCATAGTCATTTCCTGGAATCTATTCAGCATGGACCAGCAGGGAGGCTTCTGCAGACGTGGGGAACGTGGGCTGCCTATGCTGGGAGGAGGAGGGGAGGGGAAGGGGCTGTGGACATAGGGTAGTGTCCTGTCCTCTGGGGAAGGGATGTTTCCATACTGTGAGACACAGGGCTATCACCCCACAGAAAGGAATGTGGTGAAGTCATTGATTGCAGCCTGGAGGAAATAACAGTCCCCATTTGGCCAGGGTCTGACACCACCTCCAGTGGTTTCCTTGTGTAAGACTCTGGAATCCTGCATTGAACTTAACCTCCAGCCCAACTGAAGATCATAGAGCTCTCACACTTCCAGAAGTGAAGCTCTTTCAAGTGGAATTTGTTGGTTCTTTCTCTAGCTTGCCCATGCCCAAGCCTGTAGCAGGTTAGCTCTTAAATGGTTCTCAAAAGTAGGAGGACCACTTTCCAGCGGCCCAAGGAGAGTTCTGGAATCATGGACAGTACTGCCAGAGAGGACCTCAGGTTCTTAGTCCAACAGATGAAGAATTGGAGGCTCAGGGGAACAAGTCTGTAGTCACCCCAATAATTTGTGCCAGAGAAGACTGAAATCCAAGTCTTCTACCTCTTAGATATGGACTTCTTCCTTGTACCCACCATGGTCCAGTTCCTGTTGTTATTCAGAACATCTCTCTACCTCTGTTCTCTAACCTGTGCAAGCTTCCTGGGCATGCACTGAAGTTTGGGGGTCAGGCATAGATGTTAGTGTCACATCATGCCACCTGGAAGCTTCCATTTTGCCATGTGACAGACTTCCTTACCTGGTCACCATGAGCCCCTCATGGTCCCCAAATCCATTTTACTGATCAACTGATGTGTGGGTTTGTTCTTTGAAGGCCTACTGGACAAAGACCACTCATTCTGAGGGATAAACAAGTACTCGATGACATGGACATTCCATTTATCGTGGGTGTGTGCTGTGTGACCTAATTATTTCACTGCCCAGAGGCAGTTCCAAGGGCCCGCAGGACTCTGGGAGGAAGAGACATTTGGCATTTTTGACACTGTCCTTGAAGGAACCATGCATGATTTATCACCTTCTGCCATACTGGGCAGGGTCAACTGTATTAGGCAGAAAGGGAAAAGTACCACATTCAATGTCGAGTCACAGAGCAGACAGGGTCAGTCCTTCCATCCTGGCTCTAGCTAATGGACCGAGTGACCACACTCACAGCCAGGGAGAGTGAAAGGGCAAGGACTGGGTGTCAGGCAATCTGAGTTCTCAGCCTAGTAGGGCCACCTACTTGCTTGGTGACCTTGTGTGACCTTCTGGGCCTCAATTCTTCGCTATAAAATGAGGCAGCTGCATTAACAGTGCCCAAGGCTCTGTTTGGCTCCAGCCTCACCAGCAAGCATGTTAGGTCCTAGTCAGGCACTGTTTGCTGGGCTCCAGGACCCCGCACACATTAGGACTCAGCTGCTGGCTGGTCCATCCACATGCCCCTCAAGTCTGAATGCCACTTGAGAGGAGGACCTGGGTCTTTTATCTCTGTGACCTTGCACAGGCTCAGCACATACTGCTACAGAAATGTTCATATTGTGAAGAAAGAACAAATGAGTGAGTGAATGAATAAATGAATGCATCCCAGTTGAGTAAGTAGGGTCAGCTGATTGAACACTTCATGAAGAATTTCCAGTGCTAGACCATATCTAATAGAATTATCACATGAGCCACATACGTAGTTTTGCATATTCTGGAAGCCATATTAAAAAAGAGAGGGGTGAAGTTAATTTTAATAATACATTTTATTTAACCCAGTACATCCAAAATATTATAATTTCAACATGTAATCAGTATAAACACTATTAATGAGAATGTTTGCATTTTTGTGTTCCGTCTTTGAAATCTTTTTTACACTTAACAGTCATCTTGACTGGACTGGCTGCATTTTGAGTGCTCAGTGGCCACATGTGGCTGGTGGCTACTGTACTGGACAGAGCAGCTCCTTTAAAATCCTTTTGTACATGATCCCCAATCAGAAATACATGTTCAAGGTCATGCCACATGTATAAATTCTCAAAAATTCCATGAGAAAAGGCTTACCTTTACGACATGCAAAGCCCATGATGGGTTCCATTCTGTTCTCTTGTGTTTTCTAAAACGTGATTGTAACTGGCTTAGTTGACTGCAGCCCATCCATCAGCCTGGCCCACTGTAACACTGCTCCGAGGTCAGGCGGGTGCTGTGGTTCTGTTCCACACCTTGTGGCTGCTAAGGCAGAGGTGTGGAAGGCACAATGAGGAGAAGTGATTCGGGGGAAGTGCAGAACAAAGAAAGCTTAAGGTCAAGGGTGCAAAGTGTCAAATCAGTTGGCAAAAGGAGCTGGGAGCCCGTAGACACCATGGGCAGACTGCAAATGGACATGTGGTCCAGTTTCTGTCAGTGTCCCCTGTCACCCTATGCAGCATACCTGAGAAGAGGGCAGAGAAGAGGTGAGATGCTCTGGGTCTCCCTTCCCGGTGCCCTGCCTCTGATGCACCATAGAACTACCTGCTTCAGAGGAGAGGGCCGAGCCCTTCAGGGCCTTGTGCCTGGGTGTCCAAGAGAGCCATTCAAGTTAATATAGAAGCTGGGCCAGAAGGAGACTGATTGATTGTCATATGGAGTCTAGAGTGTGTTGGGCACTTGAGTTAGCGTCTCCTGTCCTGTCCTGTGCTGTGGTCTAACAGCCCATAAACATTGACCAAGTGCTGTTTGGGCTGGACCCTAGAATGAAGAACACATTGATGTGCCCAGCTCTTTGCTGAGCAGCAGGAGTGAAAAGTGAATGCTGCAGACGGCTGGGCAAGGAGGGGATGGTTTAGGCTGCACCGTGGAGGAGGACCATTTTAAGGTTTTCCTTGAAGCCGGGCTTCTTAGATGTAAGCAGAAAGGAGAAGGCATTCCAGGACGCAGGAAAAACTTCCCCAGAGGAAGGAGAGGGTGGGCTCAGTCTGCGCAGCTCTTTCCCAGATGAAACCTTCTTTTCCAACAGAGTTTTCTCTTCTGAATCTCCTAAAAGAGCTGCAGAAACTTGGCAAGGTCATGCTCTGGGTCAGACCGCCTGGTTTGAATCTTCCTTCCCCCACTGGGCCAGTTACTTAATCTTTGGTCCCCAGATTCCTCATTTGAAGGGGTGTGCTGTGATGATTAGATGAGTTACTATAAGTGCTTAGGATGGAATCTGGCACATGTAAGTGCTGGGTAAATAGGAGCCCCCATTAGCATCTCCCCATCATCATCCTCACAGTCAGCAAACCGTGGGCCCCATGTCCCAGGTGCTGCCCGTTGCTGTGACCCATAAGTCCTAGGCTTACCTCCAGGACCCCATTTAGGATCTGTACTTGGTCGCAGCCTTCATTACTCTGAGTCCTGGGATGTTTCCAGCCATCGTTACTAATGTGTTTTTATACGTTTTGTAAAATTCTACAGAAGTGGAAACTTCATCACTTATGAATTTCCAAGGAAACAGAGCCCTTTCCTTGGCTCTTAACCTACTAATATGGGTTGATCTGGAAATTAATTTGTGCTTCAGTAACTAGGCCTCAGATCACACAGGGCCATGGGGCCATCTGGCTGTCTCCAGAACTTCCCGACAGGGCTGAGGGCCCCTCCTCTGGGCTCCAGAGCACCTTCTGTGACCATCATCTTTATTACTGATGAGTAAAAGTCTTCTTTATGTTAAATTTTGCCTCCCCAGGAAATGGGAGCTCCTCAGGGTGGGCTCCTTCCTTCCTTACCCATTTTGGGTCCCCAGGACCTTTCACAGAGGCTTACATGTGACAGCCACTCAAGAAAGTCAGCGGCATCCATGTAGGCACCAAGTGGGCATCTCCCACCTGCCACATGCTGTCTGGGAAAATACAAAGGGAGACAGACAGGGTCCCTGCCCTCATGGGGCCTCCAGCCTAGCGGGGAAGATGGACATCCCACAAATAGCTTCCTCCAGGAGAGAGGAGTGAGCCAGGCTGGAGTGTGGGCAGAGACCAGATCACACAGGGCCGTGGGGCCATGTGGCAAGAATAGATCCCAAGCAGTGTTCCTGGGATGCAGTGAGAAGCCACAGGAGGGTTTTCAGATGTCGAGTTGCAGATCAGGTGTAATTCGACAGGCGTTAAAGATCTGGGATGTTGCCGATGAGGTGGCTCACACCTGTAATCCCAGCACTGTGGGAGGGTGAGGAGGGAGAATTGCTTGAGCTCAGGAGTTTGAGACTTGCCTGAGTGAGAGTGAGACCCTGACTCCTAAAAAGAAGAAAAGAAAAACCCAGCCAGGGGCTACAGCAAGCACCTGTTATCCCAGTGGCTTCTGAAGGCTGAGACAGTGGAATGCCCACAGCCCGAGTCTGAGGTTGCAGTGAGCTATGATGCCATTGCACTCTGCTCAGGGCATAGGGTGGGACTCTGTCTCAATAACAACAACAGAAACAAAAGCAAAGAAAAAATAAGCAAGGAAATAAAAAAAGTATCTGGGATGCTGTGGGGCCAATAGATGGGCACACACCCAGGGGTGGAGGACCCAGGCTGCTGCCTTAGTCCAAATGGAAGCCAACAGGGTAATGTCGTGGTGGCAGAAATGGGGGAAAGCATTCTGATTTGGGGGGAGTAAGCAGAATGTGGTGATGAACTGGTTTTCAGGGAGGAAAGGTGGTCCTAGAGATGACCTGTGGGTTCTGGTAAGAACAACCTGGGAATCAGAGATGCCCTTTCCTGAGACGGGGTGGGTAGAGAACAGACTAAGGAGATCCTATTGCTGCCCCTGGAAGGAGTGACAACAAAAACAGGGGCCACTTCCAAGAAATTCACCCTGAAAGGGAGGCGCATGATGGGCCCAAGGGAGGCAGGGGTCAAGGTTGGGGCATGGTGAAGGAGGGAGGTTTTCAAGCATGTTTGAATGTGGAGGGAAGACCAGTAGAAGGACCAGGAGAGCAGGACCGTCAGCAGCACTCACTGCCAGGAGGTGGCAGTGGACACAACCCAGAGCACCCAGGAAGACTGCCCCTCTCCCTGCGTCTCTGATCAGAAGGCTCCAAAGAACACTTTCACCTACCTCTCCTGACAGAGGAGAGTTGGAGGTGTGAGCTGGAGTAAATGGACAGCTGGCCAGCCTGGCTCTGCTCTCGCCCCAGCACTGGGAGGCTCACTCTTGTATCTCAGCGCCTGTAAGAGAAGGCACCTCCCATTGTCACCATTTGCTGGATATCATTATTCCCTCTGCCCCTCCAGGACCACTCCCCACCCTGGCCCACAGCATCCAGGGCCCCAGAGGCACAGTCAGGTTTGACCAACAAGGAGCATGGGTGGAGAGGAGATGTGGGCAGAGTAAGGGGCCAGGGTGTTTATTCTCCCTGCACAGTCCCCACGGAAGCTGTGTCCCTTCATCTGGGAGGACAGCTCTTACCAAGTGGCTTCCTCACACAGCTCTTTGCCTCTCCTGGGTCAGTTCTGGCTGCTTCTCCTCACTTGCTGGTTTGGATCCGTGTGCCAGTGTTAACAGCTCTGGAGGACTGGAATATCCTTTGTGCTTTTGCTACATTCTGTCCCTACCATTACATTAAAAATCCCTTTTCTAACTCCAGTCATCCACTTTGTATATACCAGCTGCTTCCTATAGGGACCCTGACTGATAATAGTAATAGACACCCCTTCAATATTCATAAAGTCACAGAATATTAAAGCTGGGAAGGAAACTTAAGACATCTTCTAATCCAGCTGCTTTATTTATGTGAGAAAAACAATAATCAGAGGCTGAGTTATCTGGCCAAGGTCACACAGAACATTAGGAACAAACTTGTGTTCTCATCTTGATGCCCAACACCTTGAGCAGTGTTCTCTCCTGGGGGAAGAGGCCTGGGTCGCTGAGCTGATTATAAAGGCAGCTGGAAGAGTTTTGAGGTTGGCAGAGTCATGTCCTGATTGCCTGAGACTTTCTTCCCAAGTAGCACATCTGTGTTTTGCCTCACCAGGGATAGGACCCATCCACCTGAACGAGATCGAGTGCACAGGGAACGAGAAGTCCCTCATAGACTGCAAATTCAATGCCGAGTCTCAGGGCTGCAACCACGAGGAAGATGCTGCTGTGAGGTGTAACATCCCTGCCATGGGCTTTCAGAAGAAGGTAAGGAGTTGGGAATCCCCAAGGAGACTAATCCTGAGGGCCCCAAAGGTATGGACCAGGTGGCCTCCCTCCACAGGAGCCTAGAAGGCATGTTAGCGTGCTCTGAGATGGACTCAGAAAGCATGCAAGTGCAGATGCTGTCACTGCTGATGACTCTGTCACCTAGCATTTGCAGATGCGCCCAATGAAGATACATCCGTGTAAGCACTGCCCTCCTCAGTGGCGGATGTTGGTCACCACTGTGTGCCATGCCCTGCTCTGGGACTGGACATACAGTGTGATAACAGTGTGGTCATTTCTGTAGGGGATGCTAGGTCCACAGCATGAGGGGACTTAACTGCTTAACTGCTCTGGGACTGGACATACAGTGTGATAACAGTGTGGTCATTTCTGTAGGGGATGCTAGGTCCACAGACATGAGGGGACTTAACTCAGACTTGGGGGGTGTGGACCCTTTCCCAGAGGGACACAGATGTAAGCACAGTACAGAGAGGGTTTGGTTACCAGAGAGAAGGAGAAGAAAAGCTTAGCAGTCAGAGACACACTCCTCCTTTCCTTTCCTGAGATAGGTCCTCTAAAAACCAACATTGTGCCTCCTGGCTGGGGTGACCTTGCCCGCCGGAATAACCAACAAGGTGAACTCTTCTTTCCATGTGTGATTTCCATCCAACCCCTCAAAAAGACCCGGTACATCCCACATAATGCTCTTGACTGTGTCATGAACGTGGTCAAATCTGTGCCACATCCAGCATAGGGCTGGCACACTGAAAGAAGCACACACTGTCCTTGTGTGCTTGTTTTTAACACACTAACTGTCATGTGAGTTATATTTAACCCACACTAGTTTTAAGCCCAAGGCCTTGTGAAACACACAAAACTGGTGGGTATGCAGAAAGGGCCACAGGCATGAGTTCCAATATGCTGTGGACTCTTCACTTCAGACAGATTGAAGTTGAATGGGATGAAATACTTCAGCCTAAGAAAGCAAAGTTTTCCTGAACCATTTTATGGTCAGTAGAGCTGGGCCAGGCCAGGTACCTGATCAGGCCACAGAGGGGTCACCCTCTCAGCACAAATCATCCTTGCCTTTTCCTGGGGCCTTGGCTCCAGGAAGTGAGTGATTAACATGGGGCTGCCCTGGTTGTCTTACCATGGTGGCAGGCCAGCTCCTCTGTGGTCTGGCATGGGGGTCCAAAGAGTTCAGACAACAACACTGGGCGGGCAGAACCAAGCCCCTCAAGTTTTATTACTGTATTATTTTAGTCTGCCTCAACCACAGATCGAGGGGGTTACCCAGCAGAAATTTATTCCATCGTATTTCTGGAGGCTGGAAGCCCAAGGTCAATGTGGTGGCAAAGTTGGTTTCTCCCAAAGCCTCTCTCCCAGCCTTGCAGATACCAGCCACCTTCCTGCTATGTCTTCACACAGTGTCCCTCTGTGTGTGCTTATCCCTGGTTTCTCTTCTTCTTCATATGAGGACAACAAGATCAGATTAGATTAGCCCCCCATCTGATCTTACTTGACCTGAATTACCTCTTTAAAGGCCTTGGCATCAGGGTTAGGGCTTCAACTTACAAATCACCAATCACTCACTAGCTGATACTAGCAGATTCCCTAATTAATGTGCTCAAGTCTAAGTGCTCCTCTGAAAATAGGAAGTGAGAGGGATGATTCATAGATTCCCTCCCTGCCCTGGTCATTAGGAGATGGGCTCTTGTCTTGAGTGGGCCATAAAGGCGGCAGACTTGGAACCAAGTGGCCTTGCGTGAGCAGCAGCAAAACCTCATTTCCTTCATCACAGGGAGACACTTGCCAAGGTGGGGGCCTGGGAATGGCAGGTGGGTTTGTGGGTGAGCTGATCAATCTAGGGCCACACCCTTGCTGGCCTGGCAGGAATGTAAGCTCGAAAAGCCTCTGCACCCTGCGTGTTCGTCTCTGTCACACACCCTCCAAAAATAGGTGCAGACACGACCTTCTCAAAACACTGGCAGCCTGGCTGTCCTCCTCTGGCTAGAGGTGTTCTGTTTTCTCTGTTCATGTTCAGAAAAATTGAGCTGCCCACACACTTCACTTCTGTCCTTAAAACCCCACACTGCTGCCTCTGAGGACCAAAGGAACAGGAAAAGGGAAGTGCTGAGCTATTTTAGGAGAGGGGGAAGGGTTAGGCCAGGGGCTTCTAGCTGACCCAGACCCCTCAGGACTGCACTGTCACTGGTGAAGTCAGACCACTTTTGTCAGCAAACTGGGTGATTTCCATGTCGAGCCCCTGGGATGGTGGGTCATGTCTTGTGCTGAGTCTGACCTTTACGGCCAGCCACTCTGTGCACTCCAGTCTTACCCCCAACCCCACCATGCATGAAGTATCCTGATTCCTTCTAGAGGGTAGAAACCTGCTCCCTGTCACAGAAGCCACTTCAGGACTTCAGCCTTGGAGAACCCCAACAACATTTCTGGGCCTTGGGAAGTGTCGTTGGTGCCCTTGGTGACCACATTTTCCTGTTCCTGGAGTCATTATGGCAGCCATTATGGGACTTGCCTTGGCTTTAGAACCCAGGACAAGGACACTCCCCATGGCTGGCCAACTCAGGCGAGGGCCACACAGATGGCAGCAGACAAACGGAGAGAGCCCTAGAGACAGGAGCTATCACACAGACTTAGCCACTGCAAGAACAGGGTCCTTAAGGGTCCTCCACCCTCTTCTTTCATTGACCTGGGGTAACAAAGGGAAGTCAGTTTCATGAGAAAGATGCAGGGATGGGAGCCCTCTGTCCCCAGTGCCACCAGTAATGCAGGGCAGTCTGTACAGAATTTGAAAACAATCATAAACCCAATTAAAAGTCTTTTTACTTTTTATCATCACTGTACCTGGGCACTCTAAACATGAGTGACAGCTTTGCCTACGAGAAGGGCCCACATCCTTGGCCTTCACTTCCCTGTATGCACCCTTACCGTAAGGGCCTTCAGCACCCCAGAGATGGGGAGGAAGCCATGCCAGGGGCAGGGGAGAGAATCTCCAAGGCTTAGATTCAGGCTTCTGAAAACCAGTGCCCAGGTTGTTAGAGGGCTCATCCCAAGGCTTGGACACTAGGCCTGCTGTCCTTGTCACCATGTCTGTCCTGGACACAAAGTTTGACCTGGGCCACAGCCAGGAGACTTAGAGGGCCTAGGGAATGGGGGCAGATGTGAGAGGCTGGCAGATGCTCCTCACCAATGCAGCAGCCATCGAGAAGTAACCAGAGATGTTTTCACAATAGCCAGTAAATGCTTCAGAAAGCCTAGGCCAGGACCTAGGGCCTGGCCCTCCAGTGGGAGCCTTCTGTCCTCCATCTTGACTGTGGACCCTCAACTTGGCCATGCTGCTGCTGAGGCATTAACACCTAGAGGTGCTGCAGGTTCCTGGGGTGGCGTGCCTTATCCTGAAGGAATTAGTCGCTAGATGTCTAAAGGGAAGCAGGGCTCACCGTTTGGATTAAGGGCTGTATTTTCAGAACTCTTCTCCAAACTCCAGACCTCCCTGTTTGAGCTCATATCAGTTGATCTATACATTAATTTCATGAGATTGATTATTCACTCATTCCAGAAATACCTGTGGTGTACTTAACATTTGTGAAATGCAGTCTTAGGTACCGATTGCCCAGTAAACCAGGCAAAGACAGCTCTGCCCTTTGAAGCTTCTATTCTAGAAGGGGGCAAATGTTAAACTACTTGCAAATTAGCATAACTAGAGTTCCCATAAATGGAAGGAGGAGATTCAGAAGGAGCAGTGGAGTGTGCAGCTGGGTGCTGACCCTGCTCAGAGGGAGGTTACATTGGTGTGGAATCTGAAAGAGGAATGAGGAGCAACCAGGCAAAAGGGCATACATATGCAGTGGGCTCCAATGTGAAATTTGGCACTTACTGTGTGACACAGCTGAGAAAGTCAGGCAGCCATGGAAACTCGCCTCCCTCTAGGAGGTCCTAGAGGTCAGAGAATAAGGATGAGAGGGGACATGGAGTAAAGCTGGAATGGGCCACAGTAGTGGGAAGCCACTTGTGGGTCTAGGTGGGAAGATGGCACAATCAGGTGTCTCTAAATCATGACCCTGGCCTCTGAGTAGAGAATGGATAGATGACGGCAAGAGGCAGCCAGAGAGAGGAGGCCTGGCCCAGGCAGGAGGTGAGGGAGCGTGGGGAGGACTGGAAGGAAGAGGACGGGTTGGAGAGAGATAAGAGATGAAATCCATAGACAAAGATTTTGGCAGAATGTGGGAAAAGAGAGTGGGGGATGCCAAGGATCATTCCTCTGCTTCTGGCTTGAATAACAATAGATTCAGGATCCCAGCAAATTGTGGCCAGCAGGCCAAACCCATCCCTAGGCCTGTTTTTGCAAATAAAATTTTATTGGAACGTAGCCATTCCCAGTCATTTAGGAAGAGAGGGAAAAGATGACAAGTTCAGATTTGGGGCCTCCTCCAAGTGGCAATGTCAGGCAGCTGTCTGGGAGGGCTCAGCAGGGAGCTGTGGGGCAAGGTGAGAGCAGGAACTGGACCTAGCCAGGCAGGGGCTGTGACAAGGAGAAAGGGCCCAGGAAATTGTGACACTTACAAGTCCTCTAGGGTACCTCCAGGTGCCTAGGTGGAAGAGCAGCCCCACTATAAGGCTCCTGGGGAGCAGCATCTGCCTCTGCCTGGTATTCTGTGGGGGTCAACGGGCCCCCAGCTGCTGAGGCCTGTAGGACTTCGAGAAGCCCAGGGTGGGGACCTGGCTGAAGAGCAAGCTGGCCCCACTGCTGTCACACAGGGCTCTTGCACATGCTGCTGACTCTAAGTCCTGCCCATGTGCTGGGCAGGACTGCCTGACTTAGAGTTGGGGAAATTGGAAAATATGATGGGGAAGCTCCCCTTTATCCCCCTCAGTGGCCATTCTTTCCTCTCTGTCCACAGCTGCGCCTGAATGGAGGACGTAATCCCTATGAGGGCAGGGTGGAGGTGCTGGTGGAGAGGAACGGGTCCCTCGTCTGGGGGACGGTGTGCGGTGAGAACTGGGGCATCGTGGAGGCCATGGTGGTCTGCCGGCAGCTGGGCCTCGGGTTTGCCAGCAATGCCTTCCAGGTGAGAAACCCCATCTGCAGACCTGCCCCAACCCCCACGGCCCCCGTGTGGCCTGATGTGCCTCCTGCAGTCAGCATCCTCTGTCCATGGGACGAAGGGCCCTGGACCTGGAGGCAGGAAACCTCCCCTTCCCACAGCTCTGCCCCTTATAGCTCTAAGCCCTTGAGCAGGTCACTCTCTGCCCCTGGCCACTGTTTCCCGACTGCACAATGAGGGGCTGGACTCTGTTTCTGGGTCAGCTCTTGCTCTGCACGCTGGGGTTCACCTGGACTGATGGCTGGTCCTGGGCGGGTCCCAATGAGCCTTTTGCAGTGGTAACCCCCCTTAGGCCAACTCCCAGCCCCCCTAAATACCCTTAGCTTGCTCCTTTGGAAGCTGCTTTGGCCAAAACATTTCCCAGCTGATGTCCAAGCCTCATGCATTCTCCCATCAATACACTAGTAGGTCCCCAAGCCTTGTCCAGAGCCCTTGTCACATTAGCTGCACCCTCCTCCCACTGGCTCCTTCTCCAAAGAGACAACTCAGCCAGAGCAGCTTCCCACTTCCCTCCCCATCACAGGCAGCGGGAATAGGAGGTTCAGCATCTATTTCTGACTGTGCTTCTAATACCGACTCCATAACGGTCTGTGGCAAAGCAGCCACTCTTCCATGCCTCACTTGTCCTCGCTGGGACATAGAATGAATAATCCTAAGACCTCAATATCCTGGCTCTAAACATTTTCATTAAGCAGTTTACAGAACAGGAAGTCCTTTGAGAGTTTCATTTTCTGAACTCTGTCTCCAGCTCTCATTTCCAAATGATCCTTCTTGGGCCCTAAGAAAGAAAGGAGTTTCTTAGAGAAGAGGAGAACATCCGTCATCCTAACCCAGGGAGAGCCTGTCTCCCACTGCTGGCTGGGGCCCGCATGGCTGTGACAGATGCTGAGTCCCAAGCAGCTGCCGTAGTCCCTCTCCTGTGGCTCCTTGCCCCAGCACCTAGAAGGGATGGGCCTCTGATACAGCTGCCCATGCTTTCTGGGAGCTTGGATTCCCAAGGCAATGCATGTTTCACTAATACTCTTTACAACAAGTCAGGGCACGGAAACTGGCAATTCTCCGAGGAGAGTGGAAAAACTGCCATCTTTCAGCAGAGCTGCTGTTTAGCTCTTTTGGTTTCCTGTCTGCTCATTCCTAAAACACCTAGGCCTCAGCTGGGGTCGTGAAACAGATCTGGGCCTGACATCAGTCCCAAACCTGCCACAAGCCCTGTCTCTTCTCAGGGCTCCAGTTTTCCCATCCTGAGAATGAGGGGGTTATGGGTCAGATTTTCTAGAGAAACAGAACCAGTAGAATGTGTGTGTATATGTGTGTGTGGGGAGAGAAAGGAGCTTACTTTAAGGCTTTGGTTCTCATGATTACAGAATCTGGCAAGTCTGGAATCTGCAGGGTACACCACCAGCCCATAGACCCAGGGAAGAGCTAATGGTGCATTCAAGAGTCTGAAGCAGTCAGAATTCCCTCTTCCTTAGGAGACCTCTGTCTTTTACCCTTTAAGATCTTCAGCTGATTGCATAGGTTCATCCACATCACACGGAGTAATCTGCTTCACTCAGTCTATTGACTTAAATGTTAATCTCATCTAAAATCTATGTCACAGAAACATCTAAAATAGTATTTGACCGAACATCTGGGTACTATGGCCTTATCAAGTAGACACAGAAAATTAACCATCACAGGAGGATTTGGATGTGACACTTCCAAGGCCCTTCCCATCTTTGATGGTCCCTCTCTCTGAGGATCCTAGGAAGACTTCCCTAACCCTAATCTGCCTCAGACTTCAAGCCCAAGCGACCTTAGGAGCACAGGCACCTGTGTTCCTGTCTCAGCTCTGTGCCTGACTGTCCCCTTCTTTTCTTTTTCTCTCCTGGGAACTTGTCTGAACTATGAGAATACGTCCTAACAGCATTTCAAAGCCCCACAGAACAATGGGGCCCAATAAATCTCAGCATCATAAACCTGGGGTCTCCTCAGCCTGCTCTATTAATTGCTTTTTAAACTAGGGAAAATTCTAGATTCAGAAGTTAGTCTTTATGACATCTAACTAATTATTGGCATTTGCCAATTCCCATCAATTTATCTTTGTCTTCCTGAAGGAAGAAGAATTCTGAGATCATGGTAGGGCTTAGAGGAGAGAGTGGTGTGATTGATTAGTAATGTCTGCCCTGGCTCTGGTGGTCTAGAGAGTGGGTAAGTGAGTTGTAGGCACCTGCCATTCCTGACACCCAGCATCACACAGGTGTTTCTGTGCAACTTTAGCTCTACTCTCCCAAAGGAGAGAATGACAGAACCCAAGTACTAGGGTCAGGAGACCTGGATCCTCACCTCCTCTGCCAGCAAATCACTACACGGCTTGGGTAAATAGCTCTCTGTGCCTCTGCTGTCTCCATCTGTAAAATGAGATCATAAAGCCTTGAGATTACCACAAGGCTACAAGTTGATAGAATATGAGAAAGTGAAAATCAGGGTTGTGCAGCGGCCATTTCTTTTGTTGATTCATGCAGGAGACCTGGTATTGGCATGGAGACATCTTCGCCAACAAAGTGGTCATGAGTGGAGTGAAATGCTCAGGCACGGAGCTGTCCCTGGCACACTGCCGTCACGATGAGGAGGACGTGGCCTGCCCCCAGGGTGGGGTGCAGTACGGGGCAGGAGTTGCCTGCTCAGAAAGTGAGAGCCCCTGGAGGCTGGTTGTCCCCCCTGGTTATACTCCAACTGCAGAGCCTTGCCTATGATGTGATGGAGGAGAGGGACACGGGATGGAGGGATTTAGGAGTCTGGTAGCTGTGGGTTCAAATCACAGGGCCACTGTGGACTATTCCAGTGACCTTGAGCAGATCTCTGGCTGAGGGTTCCTTATTAGGTCACCAGATCCCATTCCTCACTCCTGTTGAGCTAGGAGGAGGCCAAGCTCCCTCAGGGAGAGCACAGCCCATGCTCAACTTAGAGGTGTGCAGAGGGGCTGCCTGTTGGGTGCCAATAACTAATAAGCGACTCACACAACACCTCCGTAAAAATAAGTGTGCCCAGAACACTCAGGACTGAGAAGTGCTGCATCCCAGCGAACCCTCCCAAGGAGACACCTGTCCACACTCAGCCACCTGATTTCTGTCTTCTATTCTCTACCCTCCACCCCATCTGCCAGCCCCTTTTGCTACCATTCAGTTCCACGCCCAGTTCTAGAGGGCGCCAGTGAGCTCAGCATTCACTGAGAGCCTCAAGTTTGTGGCAAGAACCGGAGGCAGAGCCCCTGCAGGTGCTGGTAAACTTGAGGGAAGCAAGGCTCACAGACTACATTTGCTTGACAAATTGACAAGCATCTTGTCAAAAGAAGATAGCAGGTTCTTGTAAATAATTCATGTATGACATTTTTCTTAATTGATGTGAGCTTAGGAGAAACAACACGATGAAAGCTCATTTCTAAGGGGAAACCGACAGTTAATCCATTTGCAAAGACGCCAAGCTTCCTAATACAATTGTTTAGTTAACATAGATTGTTGCCATCAGTCATTCTTTTAACACCTGCTCTGTGCAGTGCAGCACTAATTGAGTAAATTAAGCTTTTTGTAAAAGACAGGCACCTAGAGACATCAGGGTATGGGTGGAAACTGGAAGAGCATATCAAGAAGGCAATCTGGGAATACACATCAGAGCCTCAGAGATAGGAACCCTTCTCCTTGCAGTTTCACTTATAGAATTATGTTAAAGTGATATACACAGATTTACTACAGAATGTTTATCACAGCTTTTAACTGAAAAACTCAAACCAGCCAGTGTATCTAAAAATATGAGATAGATAGGGTTATGAATTAAATATTATGTGGCCATAAAATGAATGTTGCAATGAATATAAATTAACATGGAAATATGTTAAGATACATTTTAAAGGGAAGAATATTAGGAGGCAGGAATCTCCATGTAATATTATACATACTGGAAAATACATCATTCCCAGAAGACTCAGACCGAGGTATTAGCAGCGTTTCCTGTCTGTGTAGTACAGTCGCATTGTTTTTGTCATTTTTTGCTTTTTATTATGGAAAACATGAAGCCATTTGAAAGTGGAGGAACTAATACAATAAACCCTCCCTTGCTAATCACCCAGATTCAACGCTTGTCAACATCTTTCTCATGTTCCCTGACACCCAAAGGGCATCAAAGAGAATTTTAGCAGAGAGCAGGAAAATTAGGGATCTTCTTAAACAAGGCTGGTAACCTTGGGGAGTCCTTGTATCCATTCCACAAGGCGGTGGCAGGCAGGGGTGGGGGTTTGTCCCGCTCAGGAGTCAGAACCCTTGGAGAGGGGTCTCTTGTCTGGTGACCACTGTGTCCTCTTCCCCAGCTGCCCCTGACCTGGTCCTCAATGCTGAGACCGTGCAGCAGACCACCTACCTGGAGGACCGGCCCATGTTCATGCTGCAGTGCGCCATGGAGGAGAACTGCCTCTCGGCCTCAGCTGTGAACACCGACCGCACCACAGGCTACCGCCGGCTCCTGCGCTTCTCCTCTCAGATCCACAACAATGGCCAGTCTGACTTCCGGCCCAAGAACGGCCGCCACGCGTGGATCTGGCACGACTGCCACAGGTGGGCGCTCCCCTCCCTCTCTGCCAAGTGCCCAGCTGGCCTCCAGCAGGACGCAGTTGTTTCTGGTGCCTGTGCCCTTTCATTGACCATCAGTCTGTGGTTTTCAAGCGATCAGGGCAAACCTGCGCCCTGCATGATTGGACCCTGAGCTCTCCTGAAAGTAGATTTCACATGTCAGTGTATACTTTTAATATCCCTAGAAAGACAGTGGCTGTGGAGACCTAGGCCCAGGGGAGTCACTAGACCTAGTCTCTAAACCCAGCCGAGCCTCCAACTGGCTGTATCATGTCAGAGCAGCTGGGCCACATGGCCTGGGAAGTGCCTTCCAGCTCAGTTGTCCTGCAGATTTGATCCCAGTGCTGTAAATCCCAGGCAAGAACAGAACAGTGTGAAATCCTCCAGCCTAGCTGGAGCCCAGAGAAGCCACCTTTTTGTCATCCTGCCTTTCCCTTGTTTCTTTTTTCCTGTTTTTGTGTTAACTCAAAACCTAGTCCAGAACCTGCTGCGTCTGTCAGACCTGAGCTGGGCAGGTGGAGAGAACAGGAGCAGACACTCCTGACAGGGAGGGAGGGAGGCCTCTACCACCCAAGGCAGCAGGAAGCCCTGTGAGGGCCTTATCAGTGCCTTCCTGATGCCCAGTTATCTCCTCTACAAAATGAAGCCTTTGCCCTAGAGCCCTGCTTCTCCAAGTGAGGTTCCCAGGCCAGTAGTATCTGCCACCACCTGAAAGCCTGGGAAACGCTGAACCCCAAAGCCTGTTGCAGACCTACGAGTCAGAAGCTGCATTTAATAGGATTCCCAGGTGATGGCACACATCAGAGAATGGGGAGCTCTTGTCTAGGTGGTGTTAAGGCTTCCTTCCAGCTCTTTAATGTGGCGATCGCTGCTGGGAGGAGAATAACCAGGAGGTATGGGTCCCCTTTAAGGGCCAGGCTCACCGAGTCCTCATGATCATAGGTAAGAAAACAGGCTACAATTATGTCTCTTACCCAAGACAATATGGAGAGGAGGGACCCTAGCTCAGGGCTGTCTGACTGCAAAGCATGCACTCTTTCTCTTAGCTCTAATCAATCTTCACCAGAAATCCATCTTTGGGGTCTTTTTCATGTCACAACAGGTGGCCTAATTACATTCAAGCCAGTTTGGGGATAGAGTTGTTCAACTCATTTCAAAAAAAAGGACTATGATAGACTTTGAAGTGCTGATTTTCTTTTAACGTGGTTATCAGAACATCCTGAACATCTTAATTAGCCAAAGACTTTTTGGTCTCTATGTAAAAGCATATCGGTCTTCTTCAGGGCGTAAGGGAAAGAGGAGAGTTAAAGTCATGGGAGTAACAGCGCCTTGTTTCCTGTAGGGCACTTGTGGGTGGAAGGCCTGGGCAAGGCTGGAGGGGCTGATGCGTCTATAAGTGGAAGGTAATTGCATCCCAGGCCTGCCTATGGCGGCCCACCCAGAGATTACATGGCAGGAGTCTCTGTGTGCCATATGCTTACTCTCCAAGGCATCGGTCTCTCTAAGAATAGTCCCATGGTGACATCCTGGAAGTGTTCTTCTGATCTGGAGCCCTGGAGGCTCAGACTGTCTCTGCTTTTCCTGTGGTCTGTTTTATTTCTTTGCATACAGATGGTCTAGTCAATGGTTTGGTGGGGCACAAGAGGAAAGGACATGTTAGCCAGCTTATGTCCCTGCCAGCCTTCCTCTCCCCCACAGCTGGGAAACTATGACCGTAAGATCCTAAGGACCATAAGAGGGGGCGCCTCAGCTTCCAGAACCCCAGGCTGCATGGGAGGTAGATGAACGCTGGCCCTTCCTCTTAAAAAAATTTTGGAAGTTTAACGCCCTGTTTCAGCATATTTAAGACACTTGGAGGCCCATCTGTGGAGCAAAGCTTGAGAATTCTGGCTCAGATTAATGTGAATGGGAAAAAAATGCCATTTCCAATTTAATTGACACTAGAGTGGGGAACAGAGCCCTATTCTTTGAAAGCCCTAAGCTGAAACTGAAAGACTAAGCCCCTGGAAGTTTCCTTGCTAACCAGACACAGAGGAAAATGCCCTCAGAATTGTGTTCTCTACTACATACTATGCCCTTGGTTGGCGACCTTGATGTGGAGCCACACCTGCTCAGCTGGCACATTGTGCCGCAGCTTTGTGGGACAGGCAGAGCTGGCCACAGATCCACAGCAAGATACAGAAGTTGCTGGGGCCCCAGGAGAGGAGCTAGGAGCTGGAGAAGTAGGGGGTGGGAGTGGGTCAGGGGTGGCTTGCTATAAAGGGAGAATGGCCCCCATGGAGGGTCAAAGCCCTCAAAGGCAAGGTGGCCTCTGTGAGCCAGTCTGAGGCCCTCATCACACCTGTGGGGCTTTGTTCCTCCCAGGGATTGCCTACCATGGCAATGTGGGGTGTCTTCCAGCAGATTTTCTGAAATAAGGGCAGAAGCATTGCCCCCACTGTGGCCAAGCACCACCAGGACTGTCCATTCCAGAGATGCCAAGGGCACGTGGCTGTCATGGGAAGAGCCACAGGAGTGCAAACATCTCCTCTACAAAGTGCAATGAAGTTCTGATAGAGAGTTTTATTGGGGTCACCAAAGACCTAGAATAGCAAAGGACATAGCCAAACCTCCCGCCTTTATCCGAACTAGCTTCACCTTTCATCACTGTATTCATTCATCCAGAACCTCCTCCCCTAACGAGGACCTTGGCTTAAAACACTGAGCTCTAGGGTGCGACAGTAGAGGATGTCCTCCTTTTGTCCAGACGAGATACAGTGGCCGCCATCATGCATCAGGCTGTTCTCTCTCCTCTCAGAGTTCTGGAATTTCCTTCCAAGCCTGTATTTCTGTCTCTTGCCCAGGGATCAGGCCCCCTCCTAGGCATCCCAAGGTCCTGACACCTCAACCTGGAAAGAGGAAGTGTCTGCATCACCAGGGTCACTCTCCCACCTGTCCTGCTTCTTACTCCAGGGGAAGTGGCAGGAGTGGGGAGAATTCTACTCTATATCCATCCAGGCATCTGGGAGGATGGCATGGCCCCAGGGGGATGCCACATACACCATCGAGTAAAGCAGAGATGCTGGAGACAGACAAATTGGGAGGCTGTGAAACCCGTGGCTCTCTGCCGGGTGTTTGCAGGGGAAAAACTGAAGCCGGAGAAGCCTCTTAAATCAAGTCTGCAGGGAGGCGAGGAGTGGGAAGCGAGGTCAGCCTCATAAGAGCCTGTCTGTGGACTCTGTCTGAATTCTGTTTAGACAACGGAACAGAAACCTGCTTCTCTTCAGTCTTTCCAGCCTGGTAAACATGGTCACATAAGCCCCTCTCTGAGCGATGCAGACATTTTTTAGGCGGTGAGTCAGACCTCATGTCTCATCTCGCTCCTTCAGGAAGCCAAAATAGACTTTTCCAAAGTCATCACTCCAGCTGCCACAGAATGTGTCCTTGTGAATGCTCGCCGAGGGCCCCCAGCTGGGCATCACCTCACCCAGAAACATGAGTGACCAGGGAAGACCAACTTAGCAACTCTTGCCACTATTTTTAGCACAAAAATAGGAGGAAGGGAAGAAGAGCCTCTAATTTCCTCTCAGAAAATCTACCCTTTTCATCCCCTTCTTCCCTCTGTCCTCTTCTGTCCCTACCCAGGGGAGGGAACCTGAGGCCAGCTATGTGGGGCTCAGGAAGTGAGCAGCCACCGTTGGCCTGGAGTGACATGGAGGAATAGTGGTAGTGATGACAGGTGCAGGGTCCTCACCCGTTACCAGCCTTCTATTGGGCATTTTACGTCATTTATCTTGTTAGTCTCTACTGCAGCCCCAAGTGTGGGTAAAGTCATCCTTCCCTCTTTGCTAATGGGGCTCAGGTCATGCACAGATGAGACAAGTGACCTGCTCCCTGTGCCTGGGCACCTTGCTCCTTAGTTTCCCCATTTTCCAAATGTTCCTGTTGCAGATGCTTGCCACGCACCAGTGTGTGTTGGGATCGGGATGGTGAGAACCTGCCTCCTTCAGCCCCAGCCCAGGCAGCGAGGGCCTCAGCCCTGTTTCCCTTGTTTATTCTGAGCCCACTGCATCACTTCCCAACACGCGGCATCTGTTCTCAGTTCCTCGGCAGTGGAGAAATGGAAGTCATTATGTAAACTGTCAGCCCAGGGACTGCTGCCCGGTGCACAAGCCCTCCCCCGGCCTTCCCACGCCCCCGAGGCTGTCTTCCTTCCCCTCCATATTGTACTCACAGGAGGCAAGGAGCATGGACTCACTGCAGCTCACTTCCCAGGGCCCAGGCGAAGCCACAGGCCCTGCCCGCCTAGCCTGAAGCACAGGTGTAACTGGGCACACGTGTATCCCACGCAGGACGCATGCCCTGCTTCTTGGTGCCTGCTCTGCCGCCTCTTCCCTCACTCACTACCCTCCCCTTTTTTATTCTTTCCCTCCCTATCATACTCCCACTTCCACAAGTTTTCAAAAGACATCTCCATGTGATTTTTTTTTGTTCTATCAGCCTCAAGATAGCGTACCAAACAGGCATGGGCTGCAGCATCCAGTTAGCACTCAGGAGGGTCCCTGCTTATTAAAACCAATAGTGGACATGACTGCGCACAGCATGTACCAGGCGCTCTGCTGATCCCCATAACCCCATTTAGCTGATGAGGGGACTGAAGCTCCACAAGGCCAGTGGGTTGTTGGCCTCCAGAGCCCTGATTTTTTCTCTGAAGCACCACAGTTCCTGGCTCACTCTTTCTTTCTGTGCTGCTGTCCCCCATACTCCCCTGGGGCTGGCCAACCTTTCGGACCATGCTGCAGGGCTATTCCCAACGCTAGGTTGCCAGCCAGGCCTCTGCCTACAAACTGACCTTCTAGCCCTCTGTCGCACTTGCAGGCACTACCACAGCATGGAAGTGTTCACCCACTATGACCTGCTGAACCTCAATGGCACCAAGGTGGCAGAAGGCCACAAGGCCAGCTTCTGCTTGGAGGACACAGAATGTGAAGGAGGTATCTTTTATGGGGGCTGGCGGGGCTTCTGAGAGATTTGAATGCTTACACCCCCACAGCCACCCAGCCGGACCCTGTGTCACCCTGACCCCTGCTGCCCTTCTCTCCACCCTGAGCCTTTGTTTGCCCAAATCTCTGGGCCCTTCCATGACTGCACCTTGGTGCTCCCAAGGCACTTGGAGCCCCCAGAGCTGTGCTGACAGGCACTGATAGGTCCACAGCACTTCCTGGGCAAGATTCAGACCCTTAAACCTGACGCATATAGCCCTCCTACTCTGACTGTCACAAACCTTTCTTCCTATGTGTCCCAGCACCAAGTCCCCCTACCCCACCTGCCCTTCAAATCCAAGCTTAGATGTCCCCCTCTGAGGCTTCAGGTGGCCACACCTGCACTGTGATTGCCCTTGAAACACCTGCCACCCTCAGGCTCTTAGTGGGGGGACACACTGATCCTTCCCACTCTACCTGCCATCTTCAGTGCCCAGACGTGGCAGCCTCTTCACAGATGTGTTTAATTTGTGATTCACTGAAGCAGCTGCCAAGAGCTGGCACAGGAATAGGTTTGAGCACTTGCTGTGTGCAGACAACACGTAGGGGTCAGAGAGGCAGACGAGACGTGTGGCTGTGCTCTAACTGCCAGGGCTCCAGGGGGGAGAGACAAGACCACCCCTCACATTAAGCTGAACGGTGAATGCCAGAGATGTCCCAGTACATATGCAATGCGTCCCAGGCCGAGGAGTTCACAGACAGGCCAGAGCGAACCAGAGTAGTCAGGGGGGGCTTCATGGAGGAGGGGCTTTGAGCTCAGCCTGAAGGTGGGGGGGATGTGGGTAAGGAATGAGTGGGAAGTTCCACTGAAATGAGAACAGACTGGAAACCCACGCAGTGGGGAGGAGATGCTGAGCCCAGATGGTGGGAGCTTGGGGGCGGGAAGAGAGAGAACGGCCACAGGCCACGTGTGCCTGGTAACAGGATCCCCTCTGCCCTGCCTGCAGACATCCAGAAGAGCTATGAGTGTGCCAACTTTGGCGAGCAGGGTATCACCATGGGCTGCTGGGACATGTACCGCCATGACATCGACTGCCAGTGGATCGACATTACCGATGTACCCCCTGGAGAATACCTGTTCCAAGTGAGCCAGGAGGGAAGGGGTCCAGCCCTGCTAGGGGGAGGAAGGACAGCTGCATGGAGGCCGGGCTCTCTCAAGTACAGGGTGCTACACTCAGAAGTCATCCTAGGCCTTGGGTAACCCAAGTATGTGAGACCCAAGAAAGAGGGTGCATGCAGGGCCTGTGGGGAACCAGAGATTGCTGAGACACTCATTCCATGTAGTTAACACCTGATGCTTGCAACTCACAACCCACCTGCAGCCAGGAATCTGTTCCACAGACCCTAAGGAGCTCTCACCTCCCCCTGAGACACCTTCCCCTGCACCTCTTTTCTCCCAGTACCCTTAACCTGTCCTGGTCCCTGCCGTCAGGACTGAAAGTAACCTCATACAGAGCCAGTCACTCACAAGTGTCTGACTTCCCTCTCCCCAGAAATAGCTGCCTCTTAAAATAGGACCTGCAGAGGGGGCCATTCTCAATGCAAGAAGTATAATGGTAGATTGTCAAACACTACAGACAGCCTGGCCATGCACTGTTTTGGGGAAACTATGCTCAGGTGGAAGGACAGTCCTGAGGAGGGCCCAGGGGGCCTTGGCCTCCCCCTTTCCTGCAAATAGCTGTATCCCGCATCCCAATGCCTCCCTTCTGGTGTACGTCTGCCTGCAAAAGCTTCATTTTGTCCTCACTCTCTCCCACAACTCCACCCGTCTCGCTCTCCAGCTTCCCCTGTTGGGTGGCAAAGTGGATGACCAGAAATGTGTCATTCTGCCTTGAAAGCATTCCCAAGGGGGGCATTCAGCCAGCCCAGGGCCTGGCCCACAGTCTCACTGCCCCACTGACAGCCAGCCCTCTGAAGAAACAACACCTGTAGAGAGGTGACCGCAGGGGCTTTGAGAGGTTTCCAGGGCAGTTTCAGAGGCTGGAAATCAGACAGCCAGGCACTTTTTCACCATGAGCCCAGAACCACAGACTTAGGAGAGGCCCAGCCAAAGAGCAGAGTGCTCTGTATTTTAAAATATGAATATTCGTGGCTACGTGCACGTATGCAGTACAATGCCTGTTGATTTTGCTTTGAAGTTTGCTATCACTTTGCTGGTGAGTGTGTATCATCATGTACTTTGACAAATGCCAAATCTCATCTATTTAATAACTGTTATTCATTGCCTGAGCCTGGCAAATAGCTCGTCTCATTTAATCACCCATAGCAGGGATGTTATTGTGCTCATTGCACAGCCAGGCACACCAGCTCACATCACCCGCATGCTTTGTGTTGTCGACCCCTAAACCATGCACTAGGCACATGGACTCACTAAGGTTGCAGCGACACCACTGAGGCAGGGGTATTGGGAAGCCCAGTCTCTACCAGCAGCCCTGGCACGAGGCCCTTGCCCTGCAAAGCAGGCGGGAACTCAGATAACCTGGCTCAGCCCACTGCTGTACAGAGCCCAGAGAGAGGGACGTGTCCACAGTCAGGCAGCTGGACGAGCATCCCATCTTCCCACTCCCCTCCCATCTGGGCGCTTGGACCCTTCTCTGCCTCTCCAGCATCTTCTGGGCCTCTCCCCAGGGCTCCAGGAGAGGGTGACCCCTTTTTGAAGGGGTGCCCTTGGCAGAGGGTAATGTGAGTCATCACTAAGAAGCACAGTGGGGTACAAGGTCTCCCTCCTCCAGGCCTTGCTCCCTCAGCCTCCCTGAGCTCATCTCTGCTCCAAGGGCCCTGTCAGGACCCACAGACCCCTCTGGCCAGTCCTGCCCTCAGCTTTGGATCCTAGCACCTGTCCTTCCCTGAGACCACTTGCTCTGGCAGCTGGGCTGGTCTCGCAGAGCCCCAGGCCCGGGGTGGAAATGGCCGAAGAGGGCCCAGCATCTTCTCTGCCCTGCTTCTCCCCCAGGTCGTCATTAACCCCAACTACGAGGTTGCGGAATCCGATTACTCCAATAACATCATGAAGTGCAGGAGCCGCTACGATGGCCACCGCATCTGGATGTATAACTGCCACATAGGTAAGGCCTGGGGCTGCCCACGCCCCTGCCCAGGGCTCTGCCCACCCTCATGGAAACAAGCCAGAGCTGCTCTATTTTCTCCAGGAACCAGAGGCAGCTTCCTAATTTGGGAAACGAGCTTGGGGAATAGAGCCAGCATCACATTTCCACGCTCAGGAAGGAAGCCATAGACACATCAGGCTTGGATGGAGACTGAGTTTTTGCAGCCAGTTCTGGCCACAGATGGTGGGAGGGTGGTACAGAGCTAGGCCAGCCCAGCACAGACCCCAAAGCTATTTAAGAGCTGGAGCCGAGGCCTCTAACTCATTGTGCCTGTGGCCTCAAAAATGTAAGTGTGGCAATTTATGGGCTCTGCATCAGGTTTTCCTGTCAAGAACTAGAAGCCAGCAAACCAATGTCACTTCTGGTCTGCAATAAAGACAGCTTCCCTGGTATGATTTGGGGAACAAGAGGAAAAGAGCTTTTTCCTCTGCAGAAGGGACAGACCTCACTCTTGGTGAAGACAGAAATTAAAAGCACAGGTGGCGCCTGTAGCTCAAATGGCTAAGAAGCCAGCCACGTACACCAGAGCTGATGGGTTCGAATTCAGCCCAGGCCTGCCAAACAATAACAACTACAACCAAAAAAAAAAAAAAAAATAGCTGGGTGTTGTGGTGGGCACCTATAGTCTCAGCTACTCGGGAGGCAAAGGCAAGAGAATCGCTTAAGCCCAGGAGTTTGAGGTTGCTGTGAGCTATGACACCATAGTACTCTACAGGGTGATAGCTTAAGGCTCTGACTCAAAAAAAAAAAAAAAAAAATTAAAAGTACTAGATATATTCACTCAACTGTGTGCCTGGCCCTGGAGATGGCTGGCACCTGGTCCTGGTCCCTGTGGGGTTGCATAGAGGTGGCCCCAGCAGAGGCCTAAAGTCAACTCTCTGGCTCAAGAGAGGGCCAAGCATCTGACTGAGCAGCTTTTTCTCCAATTCCTACTCTTCAGGTGGTTCCCTCAGTGAAGAGACAGAAAAAAAGTTTGAGCAATTCAGTGGACTCCTAAATAACCAGCTCTCCCCGCGGTAAAGAAGGCTCTGTGGGCTGGGGTACAGTGGCTTCACCTGGAACCCCAGCACTTTGGGAGGCTGGAGGATCGCTTGAGGCCAGTAGTTCAAGACCAGCCTGACCAACAGCGAGATCCTGTCTCTACAAGAAAGAAAAAAAAATAGTTTTTTAATTAGCTGGGTGTGATGGTGTGCGCCTGTGGTCCCAGCTGCTTGGGAGGCTGAGGCAGGAGGATTGCTTGAGCCCAGAGCAAGACCTTGTCTCAAAAAAAAAAAAAAAAAACCAAAAACGAACAAACAAAACAGAAAAAGCAGTCTCTGTGATCACCTCCTGTCTTTGGGCTACACCACATCTAACCTGGGACTTCCTGCAACAATTAATTAAGTCTGACGTAGTGCCCCACCTCGACCCCCATGGTAGCTGTATCCAAGCTCAGGAAGAAAGGACCTTCTCATCATTTGCTGGTTGCTACCTGTCCTTTAAGCCCTGGGTAGGCCTCTGGGGTCCAGGGCTTATCCACAAGGCTGTGGGAGCAGCACCAAGAGCCAGCCTTGTCCAAGACCCCAGGCCCACCCACAGGTCATCATCAGCCTGTCCCATCCAAGCCACTGAGCTCACCACGGGTAACATGAGCCTGTCCTCAAGTTACATGTGGGAAGACCTGAGCTTATCAACATATATAAATGATGCTGCCATGCTTTCAGATTAAACGAGCTCAGAGTTGGTGCTTTTTTCTCCATCCCCTCCTATTTTTCAAGGTATTATATTTTCACAGACCCGGAAATACAGCTCAGAAGAAAAAGCAACCCACCTGTGTAAGTGACTCATGTTTCTACTGTTCTAATTCTGTTGGTTATTGATTCACCGGTGCTATACCCAGGGTGCTGAGTGACAAGGACACTCACCAAACATCATGTGTCATCAGAGACACTTACACATACTTGAATTTGGAATAAAAGATGTATGATATGCGTTTGTGTTTCATTTGAACCACCGTGCCCACACCCTGATTAGCAGAATTTCTGTGTTCAATCTCCCAAACTGAGCTTCACATACTGATGGCATCCCTCTCCAGTCCAGCGTGGCCACCAGGGCCTCCTTCAGTAGACTACAAAAGAAGCAACCCCTGCCGTCTGGGAGCAGCAGCCTAAGGCAATCACAAAAATCAACAAGAACACAAGTCACACCTTTCTCGAACACCTGCTGTTTTTACTGGAACTTGTCTGGAGGCACAGCAGTGTTATGAGCAGATGGGACACCCAGACCAAATAGTCACAAGGCAGGTGCCCAGGGAAGGGGGTGCATTAGCAGAGCAGGGGCTCCAAGCTCTTCCTGGGGCAGTGGGAGTGGATGGAGCTCCCATTTGTGTTTCAAGCCCAGCAAGTCAGAGCACCCCTGATGACCCTGAAGCTCCAGGCAGGGGCACCTTGGCACAAAGTCCACCCAAACCAGAAAAACGGCACCACCTCCACTAAGATGCCTCACCTGTTTCCAGCAGGGAAGCAAACTCAGCACACCCTCACCTCACCTCTTGGCTTTGTGTTTATTTCTGCAAGAATCTTTTGTAGCCCATACCAACGGGCAACACTGGGACCACCCCAATGTCCCAGAGCTGCCCTGCAGCACAGGCTGGCAGGCTGAGACAGCTGCACTGAAGAAGATTCTGGGCAGGCCATCACAGAGCAGGTGCAACCCATCCTGCAAAACGGGCCAATAAGCCAGGTGCACAGTGCCCATGGAGGCCAGCTGGGATCCTCTAGGCCCCATTCCTGAGTGGCCTCTTCCTTCAGAAGCAGAGAGGCTGCAATGGGAGGTCGGCCAGCGCCCCCTAGTGTCACACCACACACTTACATTTTGAAGCAATTGCATTAGAACAACGTAAGTTTTTATTTTTTCTCAATTTCTGGGACTAGACCAAGCTAAAGCCCACTACGCCCCACAGTGAAACTCCAACAGTGGCGTGGGGCTGCTTTGGTGTCTGTAAAGGCTTGTGGTGTTGGGGCCCAATCAGCCCTTGTGGGATCCAGCCCCACTGGGCCTCCAGGGCCTCAGGGCGGCGAGACAGTCTGGACAGCTGGCCGCTCTTTCTTTTTGTGTTGGAGCCCCAGGGCCCGGGCCACCAGCCTCCGTGCCACAGCAGCATTTGTCTGTGGCCGCTCCTTCGCCAGACGCAGGAGCTCTAGAAGGGAAGCCCCATGGTGGTGACTTGACTCAAGGTCCCCTCTCCCCCAATGACAGCAGCCTGAGGATATCTGAGCCAACCTCTAATGTTGTGGGGCCCAGCCGTGCCTACAGTGTGGCCAGATGCTCATGTGAGGGGCTTGCTTAGGGCTCCCCGAGGGGTCCTGACCCAATCTGACACCTCTAGAACTCTAGTTTCTCTCCCTACAGTGGGGGATGTGGGTTAATCTTGCCACCTCCTTGCTTTATAGGGCCCTCTGGGAGGGAAAGCAAGTCAGGATGGGGCACCTGGACCCACACACAGGATATATGCCATTCCAGGAAGCCTGGGGCAAAGTCCACGTAACCAGCCACGAGCACATGGACGGCCCTCAGCAGGCCTCTTCCACGCGTGTTTTGCTACTCTGCAGTCATGGAAAACTGGCCTCTAAAAGTCCCACCATGCTTTCTGGAAGAGGAAAAGGGATAAACCAACACCTATTTGGCACCTTCTGTGTGCCTTCAGGGCCCCAAGCAGGCATGCCACGCTGATCCTCCAGGCTACCCTTCCTGATCTGCTTCCTTTACGGAGAAGAAACCAACTCATACACTTAAGTGATTCACTCAAGGTCCACTGAAGTAAGTTACAGAGCTGGAGTCACCCAGGGCTGATCCCAAAGCCCAGGCTCTTTTTTCCCCTGCAGAAGATAGACGAAGCTCTCCCCGGGTGACCAGGAGAGCAACTGGCAGATGCCACTCAGAGGGGGCCTCCTACCCTAGGCACCCAGTACAGCCCCACAAGCTAATGTAGCCCAGGGTTTCTAAAGAGCAGAGGGAGGATGAACAGGGGATAGGGCCCCACCCTACCCAAACACTCCCAGACTTCCCGCCAGGGACAGCCACCTCCTTACTTGGCCTCTGTAAGGCTTTGAGTTTGGACTGCTTGCTTCCCTGCGTGAGGGGCCGGATCTTGAGTGCTGAAAACTCCTTGGTAAGGGCTTCAGTAGCTGTGGAAAGAAAGCAGATCCGGAGCCAGCCCCTTCACCCTGGTTTCCCCAGGACTTGGGGTGGACACCTACTCAAAGCTCAGGGCAGGGCTGCTCTGATACACCCTGTCTGGGCAGGACACTGCTGCCTACTCACCTTGTCCCCCAGACCCTGCATGCTAGCACAAGGACACCCCACTCTGAGAGGACACTCCTACCCCGGCCAGTCAGGAGAGGCAGATTTCCGCCCTCTAACACCTGGAGCTTAAAAGAGACGCTCCCTTTCAAAAGAGATGCCAAGACCCCACAGGGATGTGTGCTCACTGCCCCGAGTCATGCCTGGCCCTGGAGAACAGACCAGGGCAGAGCTGGGAGGGCTGCAGGTCCCAGCTGCCCACTATGTTACAGATGAGGAAACTCATCTAATAGGAGGAGGCCAGGGCATGACCTCCTCACACCACACAGTTTGTGGCAGAACCCAAGAGATGGCCATAGCCATGCCTAGTCAGAGCACACTCTTCCCTTGGCACTGGCAACCTCTTGGCCCCCCTCTCTGAAGTTTGACTCCCCACCCAGCCTCTTTCCCTTCCTGTCAGGCTCCTCCAAGGATTGGGTCCCACCAGCAACAGCCCTCCAGGCTCTGGTGTTCATAAAGCTGTGATCTGGGACGCCCAGCCCGCGGTGGGGGATGTTGGCTGTTTATAAATTAGACCCAGAGAAGCAGTGGTGTGGCCAAGCAGTCTGAGAAAGTAGCTGAGGGAGACAGGAACACTGGAGCCATGGCCAGGAGGCTACATGGCGTCCCCAGCTTTGACATGGAGGCTGTGTATCCTGGAGTGGATCCTAATGTTCTGGAACCCTCAGCCTCCCCATCTGGAAAGTGGAGGTGACCTGACCTACACCTTGAGGCTGCAGTGAAAACCAAACAAGAACACATCTGCTTGAAGCATATGAAATTACCGATATTGGAATGTTTTTGATGTACAAAAACAGTACTTTTCTATGATTTCATTTAATATGGGGATGTCCCTAGGACTTGGCCCATGACACCTGCTCAGTAAATGTCACCTGAATCTAAAGCCTTTGCGATGAAAGCACTAACACAACAGGAAGAGCTTGTTACTTAAAAGACATTACTCTGACTCCTGGGCCATGGCCTGCTCGGCTGCCCTGGGACTTTGGATTGGGCCAGGTGAGAGTAGCACCCTGGGAGGCCACTGGCTGAGGTGAGCCTGCATCTGTGAGATGGGTGACCTGCAGCCAGGAAACAAAGGTCCTTCCCCTTCCAATGGGGCTCAGAGAAATGGCGGAGCCCACTGTGAGTCACATTACCTGAAGCCAGGCAGGGAAAGATGCCGAGAGCATGAGTGTCATCCACCCACTGAATCTTGAACCCCTTCTCTCTGTGGGGGGAAGAGACAGGGCACTTAGGAAAGCAAGTGGTCGGTCAAGTCTCCTCCCACCACCAATCCTCAAACATGAAGAGCCCAGGTCCCATCTCTCCTGGGAAGGAGATGACCCTTTGCAGCAAACCTCTGAAGCCCACCTGGTCATCTTCAGAAAGACAAATGTCACTTATGTTAATATGTCAAGTGGGTCCCCAGTTTCTGGAACTCAAAAGCCAGGACTCGGCTCGGCGCCTATAGCTCAACCGGCTAAGGCGCCAGCCACGTACACCTAAGGTGGCGGGTTCGAATCCCCAGCCCGGACCCGCCAAACAACAATGACGGCTGCAACCAAAAAATAGCCGGGCGTTGTGGCGGGCACCTGTGGTCCCAGCTACTTGGGAGGCGGAGGCAGGAGACTCGCTTGAGCCCAGGAGTTGGAGGTTGCTGTGAGCTGTAATGCCATGGCACTCTACCCAGGGGGACAGCTTGAGGTTCTGTCTCAAAAAAAAAAAAAAAAAAAAGCCAGGACTCAAAGAGCTTGTATATATAACGAACACCAAGGGTGAAGAGGGCTCCTCAGATACCCTGACACAGCCAGACCAAGGGCATGGGTTGTGAGGCTGGGGAAGGAGACAGGACAGGACCTTAAAAAGACCCTGCAGCCTGTGAGAGGCTAATGACAGCATGGGCCCACCCAGCTGCTTGGGGGTGCTGGGCACCCTGGCTGAAGAAGTCACTGGGAGCCAGCCTGGCCATGCCATCTGGTAGGAGAGATGCAAGCTGTACCCCACCTGCCACTGCCCAGGGCTTTCCTCCAACTCAGGTACAGAGCACAGGGGAAGGCTTTGGAAAGCAGAGTCAGTGAGGGGGGCCATGCAGAAAGGGATTTTAAAAGCCAAAGCAAAAAAAGTAAAAAATAAAAATAAAAAACCAAAGCAGGAGAAGAGAAAGAAAAATGAGAATCAAAAAGAAAAAACAAGGGCAGCGCCGGTGGCTCAAAGGAGTAGGGCATCAGCCCCATATGCTGGAGGTGGCAGGTTCAAACCCAGCCCCAGCCAAAAACTGTAAAAAAATAAATAAATAAAAAAAGAAGAAAGATAGGAGAGTAGAGCCAAAGGAATCTGGGGAAGCGAGAAGGGAAATCTGGTCTCAACACATCCTCTGGCCTCCATCCCAACCTCCAGGCTGCCCACTGAATAGCTCAGTCCACTCCAGAACCAGTCCCTGCACCGAGCTGGCTTGCAGCCTGCTGGAAACCCCTGAGCAGCTAGATGGCAGGTGAGATGTGGGGAGGACAGTGGGCTGCCCTAGGGATCCTAGCAGGCAGGTGGCCATGCAGGGAGGCCAGCCCAAGTCTTGGGCCTCCAGAATGTGTCTAGAACCAAACATTCAGCTCTCCTCTCCCCCAGTCATAGCCAGCAGGTGAGTTGCCCAGAAGTACAGAGCCCAGGCAATATGCCCCCCTTTCTGCCTTTCTCTCCTAGGCAGTGGGGCAGGCAAAGGGACACAGTTCCTCTCCAGGAACCAATCACCCCACTTCCCTGGCTGCCACTCACTGGAACTCAGAAAATGTTGCCAGCAGGTCCTCAGTCTTGAGCTCAGGTTCAAAGTCATAGATCTCCACCACATGGGCAAAGTCCTTCTCTGCAGGCAGCTCCTCTACAAAGGAAGACATGTCCACACGGATCTTCTCTATCTGAATCTCCTTCTCAGTCAGGTTGTCTGTGATCTGGAAAGATCAGACCCTTAAGCAAGGGAAGCTGACACACAGGGCTCTAAGCAACTACACCATGCTCTGAGCTCTGCAGGGAGGAGGGGGCTGGCCTGGCAGGAGCTGGGCAGGGCGGCACGAGGAAGAGCAGGCTGGAAGGTCAAAAACATGGGTTTTGGGGAGGCTATGTACTTTTATGGAGTCCCCACTGGCTGACTGGCACTTAGACACATTATGTTTCATATAATCCTGAAAGCTATATTCCACATAGCTGCTTTACAGATGAGGAAACTAAAGGCCAAAGGTTAAGTAATTTGGGCCAGACAGAGCCAAGCAAGTCCAGGATCTCCCCTTCTCTTACAATGATGTGATATTAAGCAAGTCTTTCTGATCTGTGTTCTTCACATATAAAATAACAATAAAAGGTGCCAACTCTCCCACCCAATTCCACAGCCATCTCAGACGCAGACACGTGGTTCTAAAGAAATGACTTGTAAGACCAAGCTCCCAATAGAAGAGTAATCTCCCTGACAACACCGGTAGCACATGACCCAACATCTTTGTCACCTGGCAAAGCACTGATCATCATGTTCGCTTCCAGGTAAGGAAATTGTGACTTAGAAAAGCAAGATGACTTGCCCAGGGCCAACCAGCCCCTAAATGGCTGAGACCCAAATCCTCCCTCATGTTTCCTAAAGGGCCTTATCACCCAAAACCCAGCCCCGTACCATCTGGTATAGCCCTATACTCCCCCCTTGATGCCTATTGCTCACAGCCACACCAACCTCACTTCCACCCTCCCTTTTCTGGGCTGACAGCCTCATCACCTCCTGCAGCAGCTCACTGTGATCGTCCTCTGGGCAGCTGCTGGGCCCCTCCTCTTCCACCTTTTCATTTTCTTCTCCCTCCTCTGCTGTCTTCTCCAGCTGACTCTCCTTCCCCTCCTCCAGGTCCCGCTGCAGACTGGACCCAAGCTGTGTGGTCATCTCCACCCTGTCTCCCTTCCCTGAGGGACTCCCGGGTCCTGGGGGCTGAGGGTCAGCTAGGTCCAGCTGTGGCTCCTTCGCACCACTTTGGCCCACGCCTGTTAGGTTCTCTGGTCCCTCAGTCACCAACACATGGATGCCCAGATTGGAGTTTGGGTCCCCAGCACCAACATCTTTAGGCTCTTCAGGGACCCCAACAGCTGGGGACTCTCCCTTGAGCCCTGAGATGGAAGTATGTGCCCATTCTTCTTGCCTGCGCAGTACCCGGGGCACATACAAAGGCTGGTCTGGCCTGCGCCCATGCCACCGGCCAGCCCGTGCACCTCGGAGACCAGCAGCTGTTCCTTGGTTTGAGGTGGGTCGAGAACCACGGAACTTGATAGAGTGGGTGGCAGGAGGGCGACAGGGGCCAGAGAGGCCATCTGCACTGGATACCCTACAGAAAGAACAGAAGGAAGTGATCAGAATGTGTGGGGGCCCAAAGGAAAAAGGTTTAGTGGAGCCACCTGTCATTCGAGTGTGATGCTCAAGTCAGCATTGGGCAGAAACCAATGCTAAAAGGTCCTCAAAAATCCCTCAGGAAGGCATCCTGGTGGAGGCTGAATGCCATCTCTGAGCAAGCCCAAAGCAGCTAGCTTGCCCTCCGCCACTGTAATCTAACTTAATCTTTGGTTACACACCAGGTAAGGTAAATACTTGCATTTAGGAGCTATACTATTGGAAAACAAGTAACTTTAAGCACCAGGATCAGAGTCATTGCCATAGATACTTAATCTGGAAGATGTACATGGGAACAGAGATGACTGAAGCCCCAGCAGGAGCTTCTCGGCTGCCCTCTCTCTCTAGGATTGCTGAATCCCCATCACTCCTGACATGGCTCAGGCACGCTCTCTCACTGTGTCTGCCCAGTGTGTAAAGCTGAAACTGCCAAGTGAATTCAACAAACAGTGCATGTCTTCTCCACTGAGGAAGCAAATGGCAGCACTGACTTTAGGCACCTAGGGCTGGGGGCAGAGGCAGAGGGTGCTTGCCGCCAAGCTCCACCCTTCCCGGGCTTACCAGCTGGTCCACCCACAGGCAACTGCAGACAGCACTCCAAGGCTACACACCTGATGTCCAGGTGACAGACAACTGTCCTCCTCTTCCAACCCTCCCCAACAGAGAAGCTGCTCAGGAGATCAAAATTCTCTGCTGTTCTGTGGATCAGGTACCGGAGGCGACTGGAGAGTGGAGGGAAAAGAAGAACCCTGGGAAGGGACCGGAAGGAGTCCTGAGCCGGGGTCCAGGTCGAGCCCCTGGGGCCTGACTTCTACCAGGTCCACTGGCAGGTTAGTGTGGCTTAAAGGTAGGCTCCTTCTGCCCCACCAGGTCCCAGGCAGACTGCAGAGGACCCAAACAAGAGATGTTCACTGGGAGCTACTGGTCCATCCCCATCCCTGAGTCAGGCCCCTTAACTGCAGGGGTCGGGGATGCTCAGGTCTACAAAGGAAAAATGCAGCTGCAGGAGGCTGACACAGAGGTTACGAAGACTAAAGGCCAAGATCAGGGCTAGGGGCCACCCAGTTTCCCCGGAATGCACTAGCCGGGGGAGGGGCACAGGTGGCTCCGGGGACCCCGCCTCTCCTAGCAGAGTGGGCACCCTCGCACTGCACATCAGCCTACTTTGACAGCTGCTTCTGCAGCAGGAAGCGGTCCAACTCCTTCTGGATCCGGTGGACAAAGTCATTCTCGGCTGAGGAGAGGAAGACACCGTCCAAGCAGAGAAGGGCCAGGGTGACCGGTGAGAGAGCCTGCAGGGGAGACAAACAGGGCCGAGGATCAGAGAACAGACCCTGGGCTCACCATGACCCAGCTAAGTCGGTGGCGAAAGGGCTTTGCAGACCTTTTGATCCAAGGTCTCTCCTTCAGCTAGAGAGAAGCCGGGCTCGGCGGTAGGGAACTGACGTGCCAGGGTCCCCCAAGCCAGTCGATGGACCAGGCCCTACTCAGCCCTCCGCCTGGGGGTCTGAGACTGGGGATGGCCTCGCATCCCGCTTTGCGCTCCACCCCGGGGCCACGGGCCCTCGGGGACCTGTCCTGCGCGGCCCAGCCGCCCCATCCACACCCAGGAGCTAGAGACCCAGACCACCACCCAGAGTTCCGCGGCCCTCACCGCGGCCGCCTGCACGTCGCAGTCGCTCTTAGGGTCCCCGGGGCGGGGGTGGGGGGCAGCGCGCCCGAGAGAGACCCTGGGCTCTGCGGGGGCACAGCGCCACCGCGCGGCCTGGAGGAGTTATGGCAGGGATGGGAGAGGGGTGCGTGCTTCTTACCTGTTGGGAAAAGAGAGGGCTGGGTGCATCTGCCACTAACACAAATAGCACCGCTTCTCCCACAGCGAAACGACTAGGTATTACATTCATGCAAAACCGAGACCCAGAAAGGTGAAATAACTTGTCCAAAGTCTCACAGATAGTAAAGTCTAGAGTCTTGCTTTGAGCCAAGGTGCATTTCATTCCAAGGTCAGCTCTGTGTTTTTCCCCCAGTGACACCACACTGTCATCTAGGATCATTTAAGTTCAGCAAACACTTCAGAGAAGCTGCTATATGCTAGACAGTGGCAGTGCTAGATTTTCCCATTCATTATTCCCCACCCTAGAGACTTTGCAGAGGAATGGGAGGAAGGAAATTTCTGAGCACCAAGTACTCAGTACCCTGTGCCCATCACTGCCCTTCCTTCTCCTTCATTGATGGAACCTGTAAAGATGTCTAGTTCACATGGCAGAGTCACTGACAAGGTATGCTAGCCTGTGGGTACCTGGCTCAGGCAGGCACTGTCATAATGATTTGCAGTCACCAACTTAAACTACCCTGCTCCATCCAGAAATAATGCCAGTATCCAACATAAACGGGGCCCAGAATTCTTGCCATCAGTCTATCAGATGGGTTAATTATGTATAATCTAGGAGACCAGAACTAAAATCCTCCTGTTCCCTGAAAAATGTAAAACCTTGGTCATCCTAAGTCCAGAGCAGCCCAAAAAGCAAAGCAGGGCCCTGAGCTAAGGGCACTTAAGACAGAGATGTTGTACAGGGTGGGACAGTCTGTGGGTCCTGCCATAAGACACAGGGAGGATGGGGGTGGGAGGGATGTCCCCCAAAAGCCAACTGAGAAACCTGGGGACAGAGAAATGGAGAAAAAAATAAGATACATTTTGCTCTCTCATGATTTTCCCCAAAGCATTTCTTTAAAAAGATGACGGTGTTGTACCACATTTACAAAAACTATCTTTCCATTACCCACCGACAGGAATCAAAGGACCTAGAATAAAGACAACCAAAGTGGAGAGAGAACTCAGGGAGCCAAGTCACGAGTCTCCTCTCAGGGCATAGGTGTAAGAGGAGATTGTAGAGACCTGACAGGTACCCTGCCCCTAACCCAGAGGGCATCCAGATCCTGAGGGTAAAGAAAGGACAGATTTGGATCCAAAGGACCATTTGGATTCTGACCCTGCCAGCCCCACCAACACTCCATGCTGGGCTGAGTAGAATTGGGACCTGGCCAGGCCTAGCATTGTTTTATCTGACCAGGTTCCCTTGCCTGGGAGGTATGAGGCTAAGAGGCAAGCCCACTTAGCAGCTGTGGACCAGAGATGACCACATATAACCTGGGAGACAAACACGTGCTGGGCCAGAAAACAAAGGCCCAGCTTTCCCTACAAACTGGCTGTCTTTCCCCCAAGTGGAGGAAACCCCAGGAAACAAGCCCAAGCCCCCACCTCTTGAGAGCTACTTTACGATACAGGGGTTCAGCAAATTCAGTGGGAGACTCAGTGGAAACAAGCAAGCTCCCAGAGGAAGGCTTCTCAGGAGTCTAGTTTCCACCACACCCTCCTTGGTTAACTCAGAGGCTAAACAAGAAAAAAAAAAATTTAGCATCTAGGTCTCCGCCATGGACAGAGGGTATCTAAGGATGATAGGTAAAGTTGGAAAAAGGAATTAAGGCATATCTGTCCACATTATTTGAACAAATAATGTACAAGTAGGTGGGGATAGAATGGTCCCAATTCAAAGGTGAGTAGACATCACAAAAGCAATATAGAGACAGGCAGAATTTCTACAGAAAGAAGAAGGGAAAGAAGAAAGAATTAGGGCACAGCAGGAAGAAGATACAGGGTAAGAATATCTTGGAAGACTTTCCTGAGAAAACAAGAAAATTTCAGTTAATAACCACTTCACACCCTCAAAGAAGTCAAAGAAAGCCTGATTTTCATGTTCAATGGGTAAATAATGGATTGAGATGAAAGGGAACTGTCGGAGCTATGGAAAGACAAGAAAGAGGCAATCACGTTCATCGTGGAAACAGCAAAAACTGGAGCCAACAATGCTGGAAACAGGGATGTGGAGTAAAGGCTTAGGAAAATCAAGATAATTACTATTTGCATAAAGCTTGCCAAACAAACCATATTTTAATCTTTGCAGCAGCCCTTTCAGATGAAAATTATTACCCATATGGTAGGAGGATAAAATGAGGTTTGGCCGAGGGGCCCCCAGCTATGAAGTGTAGAGTTGGGACTCTCTAGTCCAGTGGTTCTCAACCTTCCTAATGCCACGATGTATTTTCATTGTTACAAAGGGGTCACGACCCACAGGTTGAGAACCGCTGCCTCTAGTCTGACTGCTAAGGACCCCTAGCTCTGAAAGAAGATTCAGACTTCCCATAGTTAGAATGTCATTAGCATTGTCTTAATCCTGTGGCCAATGGTCAGACACCAAAGTTAGGAATTAAATAAATTAGATGAATCCAATCAGGAAAAAAGCAGCCTGGGTGTGTGCTACAGAATGTTACCCAAAATGGGAGGAGTGATTGAAAGATTATAAAGGTACTGAACCCAGGGGACATCGGGTTGTAAAGTGTCCCAGCTAAAGGGACAGACTTAGAGTTCTCCACTGCTACAGTAACCCTCTCTTGTTAAGGGCAAGATCATCTTGGGCAAATGCATCCCTAGAGTCTCTGTCCTAGTCTCACGTCTCACTCTTGCTCAGGCTGGTCTCGAACCTGTGAGCTATGGAAAGACAAGAAAGAGGCAATCCACCCGCCTCAGCCTCCCAGAGTGTTAGGATTACAGGTGTGAGCTCCTATGCCTGGCCAACACTTTTCCTTTTCCTTCCGCTAAATACAACTAAAACTCATGGACATTATATTATATTATAAACAAACATAAGAAGACTCTGAAAGGTGTAGAGAAGAAAGCAGGCCAGCTGGGGACCTCAGGGTCTAAGGAACAACAAAGTGCTACTTAGGTATCCCTTACGTCTCAGATCCCTCGACGAGGAGCTTGAGAATACTCTGTTCAACACAGCAGTATATACATTCTTTTGAAGTGCCTTTGGAACATATTCCAAGACAGACCATATCCTGAACTATAAAATAAACCGCAACAAATTTAAAAGAATGAATTTAAAAGCATAGTATCTTCTCTGATCTTAATAGATTCAAACCAGAGACAAATAGCAGAAAAATAGCAAGAACATCCCCAAACACTTGGAAACTGAACATCGCACTTCCAAATAATCCATCAGTCAAAGGGGAAATCCTGAGGGAGATTTAAAAATATACATTGTGGCCAGGCGCAGTGGCTCACGCCTGTAATCCTAGCACACTGGGCTGCTAAGATGAGTGGATCGCCTGAGCTCACAGGTTCAAGACCAGCCTGAGCAGAAAGCAAGACCCCCTGTCTCTACTAAAAATAGAAAAAACCGAGGCAAAAGGATCACTTGAGCCTACCTGGTGGTTGCTGTGTGTGCTAGGACGCCACAGCACTCTACCCAGGGTGACAGCTTGAGATCCTGTCTCAAAAAAAAAAAAAAAAAAATTGAATAAAATGAAAATACCAAAATGTGTGAGAGACAGGTATGCAGTGCTGAGAAAAAAAAATTTATAGTACATGCCATAATCCCAGTACTTGGGAGGCTGAGGCAGGTGGATTGTTTGAGCTCAGCAGTTTGAGACCAGCCTGAGCAAGAGTGAGACTCCATCTCTAAAAAATAGCCGGGCGCCTATAGTCCCAGCTACTTGGTGGGGGAGGCTGAGGCAAGAGAATAGCTTAAGTCCAAGAGTTTGAGAGACTCTGTCTCAAAAAAGAAAAGAAAAGAAAATTTATAGTACCAAATGTATATATACATTTAGAAAAAAAAGTCTCCAATCAAAAGAAATGTACTCAATGTATAAATGTATAGTACTAAATGTATATATACAAGTTAGGAAAAAAAGTCTCAAGTCAAAGTAAAAGATCAAAATAAACCTAAAGAAAACAGAGGAATGAAATAGACAATAAAAGTAGAAGTCAATGAAATTAAAAACAGAAAAACAGTAGAGAAAATCAACAAAAGAGCTACTTTTGTGAAAAGATCAATAGAATTATAACCTTAATAAAACTAAAAAAAAGAGAAAAGACACAAACTACCAATGTCAGGAATGAAACAGGGTATCATTATAGACCCTACAGACATCCAAAGTATAACAAGGAAATACTATCAACAACTTTAACATGCATTTGACAATTTAGTGAAGTCATCTAATCCCAAAAGCTTACTTAGTCTACTCCACTTATACAAACTTTTTGAAAAGACAAAATTTTAGACATGGAGAACAGATTATAATTTGCAGGGGTCAGTAACAGGGAATAGAGAGGATGGGGGGGATTAATAGAGTACAGGAGTAGGAGGGAGGTGAGTGTGACTTAAAGAGTTACAGGAAGGACCCTCATGTCCCAGACACAACCCTACACAGGTAATTAAATTATATTGAACTCAATATACACACATGAGTGTAAGTAAGATTGGAAAACCCTGATTAAGATTAGTAGATCATACTAATGTTAATATCTACATTGTAATATTGTACTATGGCTTGTGAAATGTTACCATTGGGGGACTGGTTAAAGGATACATGATAACTCTTTGTATTTTTCTTGCATGGGACTCTAGAACTTCATCAATTAGAATTTCAGTTGAAAAATGGAATATCAAATATATGAAATTTTTAAGTAGAGATGAAATGTTTTATAACTTACTAAATATAAGTAAAACCGGAACTAGATGTTTAAGTGAAATTTGTTCAGGCCCAGCACAATGTCTCATGCCTGTAATCTTAGCACCCCAGGAGGCTGAGATAGAAGGATCCCTTGAGCTGGCTACTTTTTGGTTGCAGCCGTCATTGTTATTTGGCGGGCCCAGGCTGGATTCGAACCTGCCACCTTAGGTGTATGTGGCTGGCGCCTTAGCCACTTGAGCCACAGGCACTGAGCCCTAAATTTTTAAATGTTAAAATTTAAAACAATGAAAAGTAGCTATTTGAATCTATTTTTTACAAACTAATATAACAAAATCTAAATAAGAATAAGAAGTCATTTGTGAATAAAAGCTACTCTCAGATATGAAAAACTCCACATAGAAAACTACATGGAAATCAAAGAAAAAACCAGAGAGAGCACAGTGTTAAAGAAAAATTTAAATACAAAGGTTTGCATTGAAGATCCAACACGTGGATAATTGGTATAGCTGGAGAGGTAAAGAAAATTACTGGAACAGGAAAAAATAAATAAAATGCAACAAAAGAAAATGTGAATCTACAGCTTAAAATGGCTCAGCAAATTAAAATGGTGTTCCAGAAAATAGATAACAAATAAAAGGCTAATACAGATTATGGTAAAATTTATTTTCCCAGGGGATTAAAAAAAAAGACTACTATCATGATTTAAGCAGAATACAAAGGAAAAAAAACTTCGTAGCTTGCAGATTTTACTAGCAATTCAATGTCAGGAGATAATAGAACAGTATCTATAGAATTTTAAAGAATAAATGTTAAGACCAGAAAATTCTATAAACTGTGATGGCAAGAGGAAGTATCCTCAAACCTGCAGCAGCACTGGAAGTCATAGAAATTCTGCCAAGAGAAATGAGGTGATCCTGGGTTGTCTCAGGTGGAGATGGCCGTCTCATCTGTCCTGCACAGCTTAACTCTCAAAACTGTTAACTCCATACATAATTCAATATATTTCCCTTTAAGGGAATAGATTGCCCAGACTGGCCTCTTTGACAGCCTCCAACTAATCACCTTAATTAGAAAAACAATTCATTCTTCCTAGGTTGGGCGCCCCATAGCTCAGTAGTTAGAGCACCAGCCACATGCTTGGAAGCTGGTGGGTTTGAACCTGGCCAGTGCCTGCTAAAACAACAATGACAATAACAACAACAACAAAAAAAAATCGCCTGGGGTTGTGGCAGGTGCCTGTAGTCCCAGCTACTGGGAGGCTGAGGCAAGAGAATCGCTTAAGCCCGAGAGTTTGAGGTTGCTGTGAGCTGTGACGCACAGCACTCTACTGAAGGTGACAAAGTGAGACTCTGTCTAAAAAAAAAGGAAAGAAAGAAAAACAATTCACTCTTCTTCCCTCCTTTTTTTCTCTCTTTTTTTCCTAGATAATAATTAAATGGCTGTCTCTCTCCTTTGTGTGAGTTAGTCACCCAGCTGTTTCTGAGTCACGCTTTGACATTCGTGGTCCTTCCCAGAAAGCTACTAAAGGACATAGTCCAGGCAATCAAGAGGTAAATCAAAATAAATGACTCACAAGCTGGGCTGTCATGAGAGAAAAGGCCTGTGATGACTATTTCATCTACTTAAAACATATAATTAGCTAAAACAGAGTAACAAAATGATATACAAATGTTACAAATTGGAGGGCAACAGAATGTAAAACCAAAAGCGTTTTTTATCACAATAAATTGGGACAGGAGCCCCGGTGGCAAAGTCAATAAATGCTACTTTTTCCACATAATTGGTGGAGGCTAGGGAGGTTGGTTAATAAAGAAATATGGACTATAGAGAAAAAAATGGGGTGAAGGTGGAGCATAAAACAATCAGTGATAGAATGCCAAAGTTTTTATAGCAAACCATAGGTGGGATAATTCAATTAAATTACAAACTTTAAAACAAATTTAAAAAGCAAAACATCAGCCCGGCATGGTAGCTCATGCCTGTAATCCCAGTACTTGGGAGGCCAAGGCGAGTGGATTGCCTGAGCTCACAGGTTCAAGACCAGCCTCAGCAAGAATGAGACTGTCTCTAAAAAATAGCCGGGTGTTGTGGCAGGCGCCTGTAGTCTCAGCAACTTGGGAGGTTGAGGGAAGAGGATCACTTGAAGCAAGAGGATCACTTGAGCCCAAGAGCTTGAGGTTGTGAGCTGTAATGCCACAGCACTCTACCAAGGGTGACCAAGTAAGACTTTGTCTCAAAAAAAAAAAAGCAAAACATTATTATATGTTCTTTACCTAATTCACACCTAGAACAACTCTA